AATTATTAGGCAACTTAACAAAAAACAAATATATACCCATTTCAATTATTTATTATTACCAGTGAAACCAATATAACATCTCAACATTCACAAATATACATTTCTGACATTCAAAAACAAAACAAAAACAAATCAGTGACCAATATAGCCACCTTTCTTTGCAAGGACACTCAAAAGCCTGCCATCCATGGATTCTGTCAGTGTTTTGATCTGTTCACCATCAACATTGCGTGCAGCAGCAACCACAGCCTCCCAGACACTGTTCAGAGAGGTGTACTGTTTTCCCTCCTTGTAAATCTCACATTTGATGATGGACCACAGGTTCTCAATGGGGTTCAGATCAGGTGAACAAGGAGGCCATGTCATTAGATTTTCTTCTTTTATACCCTTTCTTGCCAGCCACGCTGTGGAGTACTTGGACGCGTGTGATGGAGCATTGTCCTGCATGAAAATCATGTTTTTCTTGAAGGATGCAGACTTCTTCCTGTACCACTGCTTGAAGAAGGTGTCTTCCAGGAACTGGCAGTAGGACTGGGAGTTGAGCTTGACTCCATCCTCAACCCGAAAAGGCCCCACAAGCTCATCTTTGATGATACCAGCCCAAACCAGTACTCCACCTCCACCTTGCTGGCGTCTGAGTCGGACTGGAGCTCTCTGCCCTTTACCAATCCAGCCACGGGCCCATCAAGACTCACTCTCATTTCATCAGTCCATAAAACCTTAGAAAAATCAGTCTTGAGATATTACTTGGCCCAGTCTTGACGTTTCAGCTTGTGTGTCTTGTTCAGTGGTGGTCGTCTTTCAGCCTTTCTTACCTTGGCCATGTCTCTGAGTATTGCACACCTTGTGCTTTTGGGCACTCCAGTGATGTTGCAGCTCTGAAATATGGCCAAACTGGTGGCAAGTGGCATCGTGGCAGCTGCACGCTTGACTTTTCTCAGTTCATGGGCAGTTATTTTGCGCCTTGGTTTTTCCACACGCTTCTTGCGACCCTGTTGACTATTTTGAATGAAACGCTTGATTGTTCGATGATCACGCTTCAGAAGCTTTGCAATTTTAAGAGTGCTGCATCCCTCTGCAAGATATCTCACTATTTTTGACTTTTCTGAGCCTGTCAAGTCCTTCTTTTGACCCATTTTGCCAAAGGAAAGGAAGTTGCCTAATAATTATGCACACCTGATATAGGGTGTTGATGTCATTAGACCACACCCCTTCTCATTACAGAGATGCACATCACCTAATATGCTTAATTGGTAGTAGGCTTTCGAGCCTATACAGCTTGGAGTAAGACAACATGCATAAAGAGGATGATGTGGTCAAAATACTCATTTGCCTAATAATTCTGCACTCCCTGTAGACACTCGATAATGCCTAACGCTAGCTTGTTTAAAAATAAAATTGTGCATGTGTTCTCAACTACCCCAAATGTGAAACGTAATAATATGCCTGAGAATTGCCGTTGGGGTACGTCAAGCTTGTTGTAATATTCTTTTGCACTGCAAAAATACAAAATAAAAAAAGTCACTGCATTATGATCTGACCAATAGTCTTTATAAAAAATTTCTTAACACAATTTAGTAGCGTGATGTTACCAGCTAACATATCTATCCTAGCATAAGAGAAATGCCTATGTGAAAAATCGTTAAAATCATAAGCTTGTGGGTGGAGTACTCTCCAAACATCATATAATGCAGCCTTTTTCAAAAGAGGGGAGAAAGCCCTTGCCCTCCTGAGCAGTGCTGTATCAATATGTTCTCCCAATGGTATCCTCTTGTCCCATGCAGTATCCAGGACGCAATTATAGTCTCCTGCGACTCTTAGTCTGCCCTTGGATATCCTAAGTGTATTTTGATATTAATATATATTATATTATTATTATTTATATAGTGCCAACAAATTCTGCAGCGCTAAATTTATAGTTATATCAAAATTAATTAAGAATTAAATTATATATAAGCATATATATTTATTTAGTTCTAATTAGGACTGATACCTTCCTAGGCACATTCAAAATCTGCCGGCCCCCCTTCTACAAAATCCCTGTCCACCCCCCTACAAACCCATGCCCCCTTCTTTTCAAGCCCTTGCCCCCCTCCACCCTCTCTACAAATCCGTGCTCCCCTCACAAACCCTCTGACCAGTTATATGCATTTATAACAACAACAAAAAAGACAATACTAGCAAGCAGACAATGATGAAGGATTGCCTGCTTGCTGCTTCCTGCTGTTGAGGAGCTGCCGCCACGGTGCTGCTTGCACCCAGTGTCTGAGTCTCTGAGTGAAGCAGGAGGCAAACTAGATGGAGTATGTTGGAGCAGCGTTGCGCACCTCCGTGCTACTCCTCCACACGAGTAAATTGTGCAGCTCAGCCGCGGCTGGATGGTACCACCGTTGCGAGTGGCACCTGGAGTGAACCGCCCACCCACTCCCTGGTTATTACACCACTGGTGACAAACTGTCACTTCCTCCCTGCCGGCCGATACTACAGGGCCGCAGCACCCAACTGGGCCCTTGTTTAGCAAGTATTTATAGGTGGACGCAAATTATATACAATATCCAGTAAATCACACACACACATTCTGATATACTTTGTAAGTCAGATTGTGTGTGCGATTTTATGGTGCCAGGAGTGCCATGCCCCTAGAGCAGGTATAGGCAACCTTCGGCACTCCAGGTGTTTTGGACTACACCTCCGATGATGCTTTGCCAGCTTTATGGGTGTAAGAGCATTATGGGGGATGTAGTCCACAACATCTGGAGTGCCGAAGGTTGCCTATCCCTCCCCTAGAGAAAGTCAAATTGTTTAAGAACAGTTTGACAACTTTTCCAGGGTCCACAGTGCCGGATCCAGGTAATTAAATTAAGGGTTTTTAACCCTTTGTGCACTCTGGGAGGGCCCCAAGCGAAGTGGGCACTATAAGATACTACAGGTGATACTCGAAAAGTTTTCATGAGCTGTATGCCATAATCATCGCACTTATGACAAATCACGGCTTGAACTATCTTGCTTTGCATGTAATGCGTCTATCTCATATATTAATTTCCCCTTTTATGTTGCATTACTGAAATAAATTAACTTTTGCGTGATATTCTAACTTTTTGAGTATCAACTGTATAGTGCTAGGAATTACACCATTTTTTATTCCTGGCCTATAGTTTCCCTTTAAGGCCTGGCATTTTAAAGTAACACTCTAAGCACGATAACCACTACAGAAATCTGCAGCTATGGTGGTGCCAGGAGTGCCCCATCCCATTATTAGTAAAACAGTTTGGCATTGGTTTGTCTTCTTACCCAGGATGCACCTACAGTCGCGGTTTTGCAAGAAGACTCCTCCATTTTGGAGTACAATCCCAGCAAATGGCCAGTGTGGCTATAGCAAACTAAGGGAATATCAGGGTTTGAGGAGCAGTATTGTTATACCAAAATATATCAACAAATATCTGGATTTGGGTAGTAGTGTAATAAGTTTTGGATCTAAAGCCTACTTCTAACTCTGATAATCATACATCAATAGATTGATGAGAGATATTAATTATTAATAAAGTCACTAGATTACTGACTGTGCAACAAAAATTGTGATCTGTTGAATTATCAGTACAATGCAGGACAGCAATGTTATAGTGTGTTATAACTGCAGTATAAATATAAAGGTCCAGAGAGAAGGCAGGGTTTACATTGCTGCCTAGGGACACCTCCATAGACCATCAATCAGAAGGCAACTAGAGATGCATCTGGGTCAGTGCTGTACAGTGTGCAGCACTGACATTCAGCATCTTTACTCTCTGCATGGAGGCGCTGAATTTTCCCCATAGAGATGTATTGATTCCATGTATTTCTATGAGAAGATGCTGATTGGCCTGGGTGGTGTTTTGAATTAAGTGATTAGCAGAGATCATCAATTCTGATTATGTCAGCCAAGGAGGCAGATCGGGGGTGCTAGCAGGTTACTATGTTTAAGGGTGACAATAGGGGGGTCAGGAATACACGTTTGTGTTCCTGACCCTATAGTGTTCCTTTAAGATATGGGTTTGATCTATTAATGTACCTATTTAATTATAGAGACTACTCGTCCACCTGTAGGTAGAACATCCCTCTTGTATTGACGCTAAACTTCCATTAGAGTGTTCCTTTAAATAATCAAAGCAGTTCATTCGGATATTACCTTGAACAGTTTGATGCCTTCCGCTTATGAGAATGCTATATACTACAGCTCAGCACTTTTCATTTACCAGTCAGCAAGGTGAAAAAAATTTATATTTGCCTAAAAAAAAACATGGTGGAACAGCAACCCTGTACATATTTGAGACTATATTTTGAAGAAAACTATAGTAAAATAAAAAATAAAAAAAATATATATACTTTTCAACAATTTAGTAGATATACCCCCAATAAAAATATATTTACAAACCAATGGCAGCATCTTGGGACATCACCAGCCAGCCTAGAACAAGAGTCCGGGCCTGACTTATGCCAATTCTCTGCAAATTTAGATGCAGACACTGCGTCACTGGCTGAGAGTGGTCAGCTGACACCCTCAGCCAATGCATTTGCAGCAGAAGACGGATTTCATAAACCTTGCCTCACAGGAAACCAAGCGCCTGGTAAGAGGGTAAACCGCTGTAAAATGGCACCTGGGTAGTCCTACCATCATGCGTAGTGGTTATGGTGCTTGCCATATTTCTTTACCTAAATGTATTTAGCACTGCAGAACTGCACTAAATAAATAAGTGATGAGAATGATACAATACATTTAATTTTTCGTTCTGCAATGATTTCCTATATTATAATTACAAACCAAATCATTGAAGTAAATCTAAAGTTAAGCCTTTGTGAAATGATTCAGCTACATCATTACCAGAGCGGTCTTCAAGCGTTCTTACGTTATTATACCCATCCATTGTTGGATCAGTGGTTTCTCTTGCTGCAACAGCAATGCATAAAAGCAGTCAAAAAAGGGGAAAAATATATAATTATAGACAAACATATATAATATGGTTAGAAAACATTTTATATTGAGAGAGCTAGTGTGAACGGTTCGTTTATATAGGATTACTTTATTAAAATAAATGTATATAGCTTTATGATAAACTGAGTTCCAGTTTTAGGGGACTGAAGATGGGTTCTTCTTGTGTAGTCTTGCTAATAAAAATGTCTCAGCAGAATCTGTCCTGCTGGCTTTGGGTTTTACGTTTCTCACGTCCTGAAACCTCTGGCGCAGTTTGTCTCGTATTACATTGCTTTCACTACCATCCCACAATTTGCAGAGAAAGCTGCCTCCGGGGCGCAAAACTCTGTCAGACAAGTCCAGAAGAGAAATACACATGCTGACAAGCCTTTGATGATCCATTTCTCGTATTCCGCTGGCATTAGGTGCCATATCACTCAGGATGACATCTGCTTTTCCCGAAGGGAGAAGGCCAATGACTTTATTTTGGGTTACTGGGTCGGTTACATCAGAATGAGAGAGTAATACTGCTCCTTCCAGCGGTGAGATGTGAAGAAGGTCAAGTCCGATCACAAAGCCAAAACTTGCTTTAAGATCTAGAACAACAAATGAAATTCAATGCAAATACAAGTTACGGATAGAAGATTCACTTCTAAAGCAGGGATAAAAAAAAATACATACAAATATCTATTTTATATTTTCTCAGAACTTTTGTGTTTTAAATGATCTTGCACAATCCTAAAAGTGGTTGTTTTACCAATACCCCATCCCTATAGGGTGATGGTGCCACAAATGCCCTGGTGCTTCCTCATTTTAAATAGTCAAACCGTATTAGAACAGCTGCCAATCCCCACCATCACTACAGCTGTAGTAGCGATAAAAGCTCCAGTCTAGGAGCTTTTGTTAGCTCCCTTGGGCTAAGCCCATTGCCTGAGAGTTTCAGCTGAATGAGTTAAAGGGATCCTATAGTGCCAGGAAAACAAAGCCGTTTTCCTGGCACTATAGGGTTAATAGATCCCGCCCCTCCCTAGCACTCCCGTGGGGCTGAAGGCAAAGGCTGCGCGCGCGCGCATTAGAGCTGGAGGTCCGTGAGGACGTCCAGCGTCCGATAATGGACCAAAGGTCTGTTAGGATTCCGGAAGCCCTCTTGTGGCTGTCTGTTAGACAGCCACAAAGGGCAGACTTAGAGCTGAAATGTAAACATTGAAGTTCTCTGGAACTGCAATGTTTACCATTGCAGCACTAAGTGCAAAAGGGTCACAGCACCCAGACCACTTCAATGAGCGGCAGTGATCTGGTTGCCTACAGTGTCCTTTTAAGCTATGAGTTGTCAGGCTTAGCGCAGACAGAGATCTTCTGGCTCTCCTGTAGCCATTATAAAACAGTTTGACTACTTACAATAGGGGAGCACCAGGGAACTTGCACAATAACTATTACAAAGCACTGTAGTGGTTATGGTGCTTGAAGTTTTCCATTAACATTTTTCTGATAGCCAGTGCAGGACAAGAGATGGCTTTATACGCACACCTCTAACCTTGCAATCAGTGATAATTTCTCAGAGGGAATTAACCGTTGCCAGGTTGAGAGTAAAACCTTATTTCAAAGCACCCAGTGTTTTGTAGAATGGATCTCACCTCTTTTGCTCAGAATCCCTCAGCTAAAAGATGCTTAGTGAGGTCCATGGTAAATATGTTTAAATCTAGGATAAATTACTTAAAAACAGCGCAACACATAAAGTGGACCTGTAAGTGGAAAAACAAAAAATATGTAGTTGGTAGGTTAACACTTGGTATGAATAAATGCACATGGATGGTCAAGTGAATGTGGAGAGCAAAAATGGGTCGCAAGAGTATTCTGAGAACAGACAGCAGCTAAAATAGCCTGCCCTTCGGTGGGTCCCCGCTCAGAACTCAAGCTGGTTTTAGCTCATCTTGTGCCATTACAGAGAGAACATATCTGAAGCATATCAGACTGGTCCCACCCAATACGGGCAGTCCAGATCCGTAATGCCAGCAAGTTCTCTCTGCACGAGAGATACAGCAACCCCAGACGATCGTTTCAGCCTTGTTAGGCATCATCAGTGAGGCATAGCTGATATCTCCCTAGGCACCGTGAGCAAGCGGTTCACGTCTGGATTACCCTTTAAACTAATGGAGAGCAAAAATGGGTCGCAAGAGTATTCTGAGGACGGACAGCAGCTAAAATAGCCTGCCCTTCGGTGGGTCCCCACTCAGAACTCAAGCTGGTGTTAGCTCATCTTGTGCCATTACAGAGAGAACATATCTGAAGCATATCAGACTGGTCCCACCCAATACGGGCAGTCCAGATCCGAAATGCTAGCACGTTCTCTCTGAACGGGGACCCACCGAAGGGCAGGCTATTTCAGCTGCTGCCCGTTCTCAGTATACTCTTGCAACCCATTTTTTTGCTCGTCAAGTGAATATGTGCACATTTGTCTGAGATGTCAAATAAGGGTTGTACCACCCCCTCCCATGTTAATAACATAAAGGAAAGAGCTGATGGGGTACAGTACAGGTATTAATCAGATGTTAGAACAGGGCGGTACAGGAGCCGTTTACCGACAACGCCTTACGTACAGCCATTATGTAAATATTTTTTGTAAGCTCGTTTGTGCGGGGCCTTCTCCATCTTTGTCTATGCCAATACTCTGTATGTCAATTTGCTGTTAATTATCACCATTCTATGATTGTAAAGTGCTGCGGAATACGTTGGCGCAATAATAATAACAACAACAACAACAACAAGATATATATATATACACACACACATACATACTAGCAATTTAGGTCCCATTATTGTACAGCGCTAGGGAATTTGCTGGCGCTATATAATTAATAATAATTATTTAATAATCTATCACCTTAACACATGGTGTTCCTTTAACTACCATGTACACTACCAATGTACACAGTGCAGTGATCCTTTAACTACCATGTACACTACCAATGTACACCTTCACCCAATAATTGATTCACCAACCTGCTCAGCACAAACTCGTTTTCCTGACACTATATAACCCTTAGGTCTCCCCCACCGTTATGGCCCCCTCCCTTGGCTTACTTACTTTAATCCAGTGCCAGGCTCCCTCGGCGCTGGTGTCCTCTCCTTCCCCGCTGACGTCATCTCCCGAGTGGAGCGGAATGCGCATGCGCGGCAAGAGCCGCGCGCATTCAAACAGTCCATAGGAAAGCATTTCTCAATGCTTTCCTATGGACGTTCTGCAAATGCTGAACGCGATTTTCACATCCAGCATCACAGAAGCACCTCTAGCGGTTGTCAGGAAGACAGCCACTAGAGTACGAAGGAGTAACCCCAGGATAGGAATACCCAGCCACGGGGTTAGATAAGGGTTATAGAGGTAAAAGAGGGCATAAACATTAAACAATAAAGAAGAGGATTGGTAGCTTTGGACTAAGAAAACCACCCTGACTCACTAAGGTTACCTCTAAAAGTAGAAATCAATATAAGATAAACTTTATTAAGTCAAAAAATTTATACATAACTCACTGAATAATGTGTGTACGTGCAAACAAAGTGAATGTGTGTATGTGCAAACAAAGAGGCTGGATTAACCCTGCAATATAAACATTGCAGTTTCTCTGAAACTGCAACGTTTACATCTGAAGGGTTAAAACCTGGGGGACCTGGCACCCAGACCACTGCATTGAGCTGAAGTGATCTGGGTGACTATAGTGTCCCTTTAAACTTTAGAACTCACTAACACAGGATTTTTATTATCATTCAGTACCTTCAACACTCACCTTCACCCAACGAATTTACTTTCTCAACAGCCACCTGACTCCAGGCTCCGGGTGCAGCCCCGCAGTCAATAACATGATGTCCCGGGAGCAGTATTTTATACTTCTCATCAATCTCAAGGAGTTTGAAGGCGCTCCGGCAACGGTAGTTATTTCGATGTGCAGCCTTTACGTAAGGATCACTGTTCTGTCTTGCTAACCACCTGTGCTCTGCCCCTGTTTTTGCCTTTTCTAAAACAGACGTGACATGCAGTCTGCGGTGTTGAACCAGTGACTTTGCGCCCTGTAAAACACTAAATACACACACGTTCTGAATATTTCATTTGTTTCAAATATGGACAACATGTATTCAAATTCTAACATGCAAGGAATTTCTGCATATTCTTATCTTTACTACCAGAGAGGAACTCATTTTAATTACACTGGCTTATCGTAGGAATGATAAACTATTCCATTAAGTCCCAGGATGGATTTCTTTGTTAAAATGCTATTGTAGCTTATATCATAGAAAGAACAGCTTTGTAAATTGCAGGACTAATGTCCCCAAAGGAGCCATACTTTCAAGACATCCATAACTTGTCTACTATATAATTTGTTCATATTTTGCCCAGTAAATATGTTTGAAAATTATACACAAAATCATCATCCCAATACATTAAGGTTGATAACAATAGTCATCAATTTGATGTCCATAACTAACAACAGTCCTGTGTTTTTAGGGACATTCCTAAGTTGTGATTCATTGTCTCTAAATCGGGTTCTATGACTTATTATAGCAGTTTTTACTACTTTACCATTACCTAAATGCAAACCTACCTTCCAGTGTGCTCCAATTCAGTGAGCGAGTCTTTGAATTAAATATGCAAACACCCCAGAAGTGGCACTTTAAATGCCTTTAAAACAGAACTGTTGCTCCTTCCTTGTTCTTTAAACTCAGTAAACACTACTGAAATTTTTACTGGGTTAAACAGTGCTGAGTAAAACAATTTTTTATTTTATTATTTGTAGAAGTAAAACATACTTACCTCTGGAGCATAACCTACCGCTGCGGACCCACGTATAAGCTATAAACCATTCTAAAACAGTTTGACAACTAATCATGGAACAGCGGCAGGCAGGACACGTCAAGTACTATAACCACTGTGGTACTTAAAATGTTTCTTTAAAGGAACACTATAGTGTCAGGAAACATGTATTCCTGATACTATAATGTTTAACAATTTAGGTCTCCAACTGTCCTTGCTCGCATGGGAAAGGTGTTTTTACTCACCTTTTTTCCCCATGCAGCGCCGGTCACTACATTAAACTGCAGTGGTTTTGGTGACTATAGTGTCCCCTTAAATCATTACAATACAAATTGGGGGTCATTCACTACTCCAAAAACTCCTGGGAATTAAACATTTTATGCCAAAATAGCTGAGTTTGACAGTGTGTCCTGCTTCTGATACTCCAGCCTACAATGTTCACTTCCTGCTCAATTCTCAGCAGTCCCCTTTATTGGATTCACCAACCTGCTCAGCACAGCCGCCATCAGCCCACAGTCTCTCACCATCAGACACAATGTAGCAAGAAACAGGCTTAGAACACTTTGACATTAGGCAGCAGTACCAGCCGCCGCCATTTTAGTTATGGGCAACATGACTCTATGTTGTATATCTTCCCATAGCTTCACGAATCTAGTTTGCCCTTCTTCAAGGTGGCGGATTGAGTTCACTTCTCACTGTCATGTGACATCTTGCTCTGCCTGGTGAGCTACACGTGTGTATGCAGGGGAGAGTGGGCAATTCTTCATAGTCTCTCTGGGACATTATAGAGGTAAGAATGGATAGGGTGCTTGGGGGAAATGATGTGAGATATCTTGCTAATTAATAATAATAATACTTGGTATGTCCAATTAACAGATATATGAGGGATGCCAGGGGTTCAATAATCATTTATCACATTTTCTATTTATTTATAAAACCCTGTCATTGGTGTGTCTGGAAACAATTGAGAGCCCCAAACAATAGGTTTAAAAATGCAAGGGGTATCTATGTACACACCATATACAAAACTAAAATGCATGAAACATTCATAGCCATATTTTTGTATAAAGTATCCCCACATGTTACAGGCTGGTAACAATGGGATTTGTAGTCCACAATATCTAAAATGTAGATGCAAGAATGTCTGCTTTGTTACCTTAATTCCTTTGCTAAGGCTGACCTAAATTAATGTGCGTAGTCCCCAAACTCTTAGAGTAATTCACAAAAGTGAGAATTTAAAGGGAATTTCAAATTAAAGGAAACAATAGCCAAATTGGAAAAATTCCAGTTATACTACGTTGGTCTAAAATTTTGGATTTACTTTGAATTCTCACCTTAGTAAATAACCCTGTTAGAAATCATACCCCCCAGCTTTAAGCTTTACAGTATAATTATGACTGCACTGGTTGTATAAAACATTATAATAACCACACTAGGTAGGTAGTGTATTATCCACAACCCATTACCGCAACACACCCAGTACTACTCCGCAAAAATCATACAAATTTTATATATATATATATATATATATATATATATATATATATATATATATGATGTAGAATTATTAAAATCTTTATTAGAACCTGTATTGAATTATTGTACTAACTCCATTTTGTTCACCTTACATGACAGAATTTCCTGACAGTATTCAGTATAATGAATAAGAGATTGTATTTTCTCTCTCTAAGGACATAACTAGCCCCGGAGTTAGCGGATCTCCGTTGACTTGCAACATAGTATAATCCAAGGCCAGGAGAACAGTGACAAAATGAAATGTTCTATTCATAAAAGAACCTTGGAACAGACCACGAGACTGACATCACTAACTACGTAAAATGACGCCCAAGCCCCCCTTTCCACCGAGTAAGCCTCGTGCTAAAGAGCAATGGCGACGACATCCCATGATGGGAGGGTGCCTCACTAGTCACTCAAATCTCTGAGCCAATTAATAATATTAATGGGTGGACACTGACATAGCCACTTAACATTTAACCCAATTAATGATGTTTATTTGTTATTATCTGATATTCAATGATGATGTCATTTTGCATATAAAAAGGCCTGCGTGCCCGCTTTTTAACTAGATGCTAATAAATTTCCTGAAGTGTTTTTAACCTGAACTGCATGTGTCAGTGTGAACTTACTTCTGCGTATACGCAATTTATTCATCTCAGATTTGGACAGGAACAGATAGACTTTTAAACATTTTTGTTTATTTCTAAATTAATCTACATCATATATATATATATATATATATATATAAAAAAATAGCGGCACTCCAGGATTTGGCAAAAAAGAGAGGTTAGTTCATCTTTATTCTCACAGTTCCAGGATTGGAACTGTAAGAATAAAGATGAACTAACCTCTCTTTTTTACCAAATCCTGGAGTGCCGGTATATTTTTCATTATTTATACTTTATGTGACCAGAGCACAAGGTATTTATTTTGTTAAAGTTGGAGTGCAGGAGCCTTGGAGTTATATATTTATATATATATATATATATATATATATATATATATATATATATATATATATATATATATATATATATATATATATATATATATATATACACACACACACCAAACAGCAATAGTATTGAAGAGTATATTTAAAATAGTGAGTGGTGTTTATAAAATAGCGCCGTGTGTTTTAGATTTCATGCACAGCAAGAAATACATACCAATGACATAAAATCCCATAGGATTTGATAATGGTAAACATATACTGGAGAATCTTTAATGTTGGAAAATAAAAATATACACAGTTGTGAAATCATACAAACATAGGTAAGTATTGTGTGTACTACACACATACAAACTTGAATCGCTGACATGTGGAACAGCGCTAAAATCGGATTGATGAACCCACTCCAATATAGTCTGCACAGGAGTCCCGATATTCTAAACTGTAGCAGGTCCAGATCCTGCTAGCTCCAATGGGTTTCTCAGAGATATCGCTGGTGTCCGTGAATCCTCTAGAAATGTCCAGAGATCGAGTGAGAGGAATGCAGGTATCACACCGACCGGTTTCTTTCCCAGTAGGACTTTGTAAAGGAGAGCTGCGTGGTACAATTTTTGGGGACGAAATGGGTCAGAGTGATTTCTCTCACTTGAGGGGGAGCGAAGGAGCAGAGGGACACTATAGGAATACAGTTTCGTTTTCCTAACACTATAGTGTTTCTTTAACCCAGCTATCACTCGGTGCATTAGATGCATATCTGTGAACACTCACCTTCCTCTATGTGGCTGGTGGGAGTTGACAAATAATACTTAGAACACAACTTATTCCAGCCTGTTCTTGCTGACATCTCTCCTTTCCAACCTTGCTGCAGAAGGACCATGTTTACATCTAAGCTGCTAACCCTGGTCTTGGTTGTCCAGCCTCCAAGAATTCTATTGGGCATGAAAAAGCGTGGGTTCGGTGTTGGTCTGTGGAATGGCTTTGGTGGTAAAGTGCAAACAGGAGAAACAATAGAAGAAGCTGCAAAGAGGTGAGGTGCCCTTTCACCCCCCATTGTAAGTGTTAAAAACATTTTGGAAGGGTTTGTCTTCTTACCTGGGTTGCATCAGGCATGTAAATAGACTGTTTCCTTACAATTTGACTTCTTAACAGGAGTGCACCTAGAACTACTCTCTGCAATTGAGAGCTTCCCTTGGCCCTCCTGAGGTCGGCCCTGCACCGCCAGGCTTAGATCAATTAAAAGAGCTTCTGGCTGCCATGAGCCAGGGAGAGGTGCCCAGAGGAACTCGGGTAAAAAGTCATACAGGTAGCAAATGGTTTGACTACATATATTCGGCAGAGGCAACAGCCCTACTGACACCATACAGTGTGCTATAGTGGCTTTGGTGGTTAGAGTGCTAGTTAGGGGCTTGAAAAGTTTTATAAATTACAGGAACTATGTAGACACCATAACACCTTCATTGAAATAAAGCGGTTATGGTGCCCAGAGTCCCAGGTGCTTTATCACCAGAAGGGGTTAAACTGGAGTGTTGATTTAGTTTTAGGACCACCAACTAAAATGTCTAAAGTAATAGTTATTCCCCTTTTTTTGAGCAGCAAGATTATTTCTTGACTGCAGCTCTCTTTAGGACACCCTGGGAGATCCTCAATCATGAGTCCTATGACGCAATTGCCGTGCTGAGCTTATAGAATGCTCCTAATAAAAAAGTATTGAATAAAACGCTTCTCTATGAGAACCGTTACGCTCTTTTTTTTTTTTTTTTTGAGTGAGCACTCAAATCGTGTCTTGAAAAGGACCCTCTCGGATGTCTGACTGAAAGCCAGGAGGTTGCAACTTAAAGGACCACTATAGTGCCAGGAAAACATACTTGTTTTCCTGGCACTATAGTGCCCTGAGGGTGCCCCCACCCTCAGGGTCCCCCTCCTGCCCGGCTCTGGGGAGAGGAAAGGGGTTAAAACTTACCTTTCTCCAGTGCCGGGTGGGGAGCTCTCCACCTCCGATCCTCCTCTTCTCCCTTTCAGCTGAATGTGCACGCGCGGCAAGAGCTGCGCGCATTCAGCCGGTCTCATAGGAAAGCATTTACAATGCTTTCCTATGGACGCTTGCGTGTTCTCACTGTGATTTTCACAGTGAGAATCATGCAAGCGCCTCTAGCGGCTGTCAATGAGACAGCCACTAGAGGATTTGAGGGCTGGATTAACCCATTAATAAACATAGCAGTTGATCTGAAACTATGTTTATAAAAAAAAAAAATGGGTAAACCCTAGCTGGACCAGGCACCGAGACCACTTCATTAAGCTGAAGTGGTCTGTGTGCCTAGAGTGGTCCTTTAAAGGGACACCGTAGGCACTGTATCTGCTTCATCTAATTAAACTGGTTATAGTGTCTGGAGTCCTCTGGTACCATCATTTCTTTCAGCATTAAACAGTTTTTAAAGTTTTAATGCTAAACAAGAGTCCCAGGCAATCCATCCCCTCTGTGCTGCTTTGGCTAATAAGGAATTATTAGCCTGAGCAGCAATGGGCAGCTGTGATTGGCTGAGAGTGTCAGCTGACTGCTTTTAGCCTGTCAGAGTTCCAACTGACGGTATGAATGGGTATGACAACAAGGAAGTGTGTAATCTCTGCCTTAGCTACACATACTGAAGGGGCCGGACTGTGGGTGGCCTGGGACTCTTATTTTGTAGCATACTGCACGAACATGGTTCAACACTCAATGGAGGGACAGTGCCAGGGCACTCCAGGCACTATAACCAATTCAAAGAGATGAAATGCTTAATAGTGACTACAGTGTCCCTTTAAGATATTTTTAAAATTTACCATTTCTCTTAAAATCAAAGAGGGGATAGCCAGTTAACCACTAAACCACATCAGAAAGCTGAAGTGGTGTAGGGGTCTGAAGTGTACTTTTAAAGATTTACATGTTACACACTATAATCACCCGTGCAATGACATCAGATAGCAGAGAAAAGGGTTTTAGATACAAATGGAGTCTGAAATATATTCCTAATATATATTTATTTATTTTTAAATCACTTTGTGTTGTTAGGGAGCTTTGGGAAGAAAGTGGTCTTACAGTGAAGACTCTCGAGAAAATTGGTGAAATTAAGTTTGAGTTTGTTGGCAGCACTGAACTCCTGGATGTACATGTGTTCCGCGCAGATAACTTTACTGGTGAACCTACCGAGAGCGATGGTAAATGCTTTATTATATAGGTATTTGTGGCTGTGTATATCATGAAATAGTCTCTTTAATGTACACTGATGGGAACAAAAAAGTTAATAATAATTGGAGGAAAAATATTAAAGGGATACTGTAGGCACTTTAGAGAAAAACTCATCCCTAACTTTAGTATGTGACAGGATCTACAGCCATATACATGCACCTTGGGTCAGATAGTGTTTGAAAACCTATTTAGTCTCTATGGTGTCCCCTGCTTCACTACTTGTACAGTGACATCATCAGACCGACTAATTGTCCCATTTGGCTGAAAGATCCGGTCATATATTAAAGGTAAGGATGCATTTTCCATTTATATATATATATATTTTTTTACATATACTTAAATTAACAAAGAATCCACTTCCTTTCAAAACTTGATGAAAGGATCGTTATATTAAAAATCGTTGACAGTTGTCATGATAAATCTCAAAAACATATCTTGTATGTAGCTTTATAAGACAGCAACTCTTGAGATTGAGTGCAAGGAGCAGTTCTGGAGCAAAGTTCTTGAAGTTGAAAAGCCACTATGAAATTAGAATGTTCCTACTGATTGCACTTACTGTGTAGAACTTTGTCTCAGAATCTTGATTGATACACACCACTTCCCTCCGTGGTATCAATTAAGCTAATTTATTCCATTAAGAATATGTTTTGACTTTGTGTTTAATTCACAGAAATGCGGCCTCAGTGGTTTGACTTAGAGAAAATACCATTCGATGGGATGTGGCCAGATGACATCTATTGGCTTCCTCTTCTTCTCCAGAAAAAGAAATTCCTTGGCTATTTCAAGTTTGAAGACCACGACAAAATTCTCAACTACACCTTGGAAGAAGTTGAAGATGTTTGACAACAAATTCAAGGATAATTATACTTTTCCCATACAACCCCTTCTTTCAAATGAAGATCACCTTGTATGTGGCGCACCTTAATCGTTTTTAGAGTTAAAATTTTAGTTTTACATTTCTCTGTTGAATTTCAAATGCTTTCAAATTTGACTTAGTCTGTAAGCTCTTGTTGGACCTGGATGGTATTCATGACTACTTGCATCCTGTACATACTGTTATGGAGCAATTTGACAATAGTTCAATTGAATACATCAGCTAAACGGTTCATTTGCTGACACACTCTAAATAGAATTGGTGAATATCCATAAAGTAGACAAATATGTTTAAAATCCAATTTAAAAAATTTTCTTCCATCGGTTACTACTAGAGATAGCGAATGCCCTTTTTCTTTCACTTTTGGTCATTTTGTTAGTCAGCGACAACATGCCTTCTACTATTACTACTGAGAGTTTTGGTGACATGCATGACAATTTTCACAGAAGAACCTGGGTTTCTTCAGAACCAGAAGTTGACTTCATACATTTAATTCAGCGAATCCATTGTCAATTTTTTGTTTTATATTTGTGTTTGAAGGTTTAGGTTTTAATCTAATTAAATACAAAAATGGACAAATAAAAGGAAGGTATGAACATTTTTTTAAAAATGTTCCCCAATGGATCGTGACACAGAAAAGACACTTTACACTTGATAAATCTAAAAAAAAAAAATATATAAAACTGTTAATGGTACCACGAGAAACATTATAATTTGTTACATTGTCAGTCAGTTTGGCTTTGTTTTAACCCAGGTATTGGGTGAGTGTCCTAGAATATCTTCCTAGGCCTGTACATTGTAGTAAATTTTATACTTTTCTAAAATGTCTTGTGTGGTTTTTTTTAATTTACGATATGTTAAAACAGATCCCGAGGGCTTCTTTAATTCAGTTTGTTTTAGTTGTATAGTAATCTATATTGAAGCAAAAGCAACTACGTCAAGTTCAACCTTTAAAACCCATTCCTTTATGCTGTTGATCAAAAAGGCAAAAAAAAAAAAAAAAAAAATCAAAGTGCTAGCGTTTTCCAATTGTCACAAAGGGTGGGGTTCTGGGGGCGGAGCTTGACTGCAGAGAAAAGCAGTCGCACAGACAGAAAGCTCCATGAGAAAAACGGGAAAAAACCCAGGTTGAGCACCCCCAAACCACAGCAAAGACACACTACACACCCCTGTGTGACATGGGGCGAAAAACAAACAAAAAAAAAACAGCCAGGGACTTACATTTGGAGACAGGCCCGCGAGGCAAACGAGACCAACAAGGCGGCGCTCCGACTTTTCCGATGACCTCTCCGGAGAGGAGTATCTGCCAGCCCCCAAGCTGGGAAAGCCGACACAGCTGACTAACACTAACCCAGACACTGCTCCAGTGACTATATCGGTCCTCACACAGCCACTTGCAGATCATCATAAAGATTTGCATAACGATATTACTGCACTAAGGGGCGACCTGAAGGGACATTATACTTACCTTCCAAACCAGAAGGGACAAAATAGCAGTCCAAGCCGCCATGAGGGGAAAGACACCGTACCAATTCAACAGGATGGCAGTGAGCTTCTCGACCTCTCAAGAGACACCCTGGCTTGGCGGCGATCTCTCCATCCACTTACCACGCTTCTCCGCCAACGAGACCTTAAATACCGATGGCAGATGACCCACATACTCACCATGCAGCAGGGGCCGTACTCCCACCAAATCAGGGAACTGACCGACGCAGCCCCGCTCTTACAGGCACTGGGCCTACCACCGGACTCCCTCATTCAGGCAGGCCAGAAGAGAGCAACTCCCCAACAACTCTCGTGGGACCCAGAGAGATCCATCCCGTTCATGCTGATAGGTCACACACCCGACCCGTACGTGGCACTCACTTCTTGACCGAATACACGGTCTAGTAAAGAGACGAACTGCTGACCTGATAAGCTGCTTGCCAAAGCAAAAATACCTTCATGTGAGGGACATTGAAACTAGAGACTTTGGTATCAGAGACTTTGACAGGTATCTCTGCACCCGAAATGGACTCAACCTATGCACCAAACCCCCACTCTCTCAGCATATATATTTCAGCCGACATACACACCTAGCCACGGCCTCCATCCCTCCCAGCACAGGGACACACGACCCCCTACACACACCAAGCTATATATTTACTCTCTTTTACCCAGCAAAGAATACATAACACTCATGGCACAGATCAGACCCACCATTAAACACATAACACGGTGCAATCAGACATGAAGATGGGAGTGAATAAACCAGATGTGCCATGCAATGCCTTAACCTGACTGTTAACCTTAGGGTGGCTACTGGGTAAAGCGAATCTACGCCTGAATCTATGCCTAAGTGTGACAGTAGCCATCCCTGAAATACCAAGATGTCATGATCATACATACTAGTTTACGTACATATTTGCAGCCTCTAGTTGTACCCCTTCCTATTAAATGCGTGATCACGATTGTAAGTAGGTTCCTTTTCCCTACCCAAAAATGCAGCATTCTCCAGACAGGAGCCGTTACTCTCAGAAAAAAGCCTTCCTTTCCTGCCTTACTCACCAAAGACACAACACTGCTTCGCCACAACAAAGTTACCCACTTCACCTACATTACACGTTACATTACACTTTAGCATATACCAAGTAGATCACATTCACTGGTATACCCCAATCTATGTGTTTGTAATTGCATGTAAGTGTGTGGATACAGTGTATACATACCAAGCCCACTGCATTGGTTGTGGCATCAGGAGTACTCCTGTGCTGTCCAACAAGTAACCAAACCATTTTCTACCAGTTTGGCACTTACCTGGGTATCCTAGAAAATTCTGATCTGGCTTAGTGCAGTATCTTTAAAGAGGAAGTTCCTACTTCATTAGTGCCATCACTTCCATGTGTTTTTGGACAGAACACATTTGTAGGATAGTGCCGCTGACTCATGATACCATAACCAGTAAAATGGTCGGGCGTGGTTTTGGTGCTTTCTCTATAGTATTGCTGAATGGGTTTGTGGCAGAGAGCAACCATTTTCTGTACCATTCAAAAACCATTTAACTCTGAATGGAGTGACTGCCCCAGGGGACTCCAGGCACTATAGCTACTTTAATCAAATGAAGCTATCAGTGTTTCGGAGTGTCCCTTTAAATCAGTGCCATGTGCATCTGAAAAATATTATCACTGCATGGCACATTGGTTGGTCCTGGGACAGGGCTAACTAATGAGTTGTGGAGGCTATGTAGCTGTACCACTTTCAAAAATATACGGTACTTGCTGTATTTTTATATTAAACTTTGCCAACGCATCTAATGTCAGGTACTGACCTAACAACCAGCATTGGGGATCAGTAAAAAACAGTTTGCGCACACGGATTATTCTTTCATATATTTTATTAAATACTTTATGCATGTATTACTAATAGATTTATATAAACACATAGAAATACTATTTTTTGATTATCATACCATGGCAGCATTTTCTCTTTGGAATTTGAACTCTGTGTCTCTATGCTATTTGCCCATTAACCAGTGCTAAGGTGTGTCAAAAGTCAGATCTTTACCAAGTACCTGTAAGAAGGTCGATATTAGATGTATTTTTCAGTTATGTAATAAACCAATACGTGCACCTATAATACTTGTTACACTAACCTTCAGCACCCATGTTAAAGCGGCACAGTCACTTAGCAGTTTTGTTTTTAATAAAAAATAGAATCTTTAAAAATCAAAACAAAAAAACATTACTACCCACCCCAGGCACCCGCATACAAGCAGATAGATCATTGTCACAAAGCAAGGGGTGGCTAAAAAAAAAAAGGTAATGGCTGTCACTTTAAACATCTTGCAGGTATTTGAGTGGTTCTTGACTTGTGATTTACCCTGTATCACATGACCAGGGCAATTTCCAGTTTAAGTTTCTATGGCTAATATTAAGAAAAATGTCAGTAAATAATTGTTCCCTTCAGCAACAATACAAATTGATCTTTGTAATAAAATGTTCATCATTGTATAGTACTTGCTTATAGACAGTCCATTTTAGTGATTATTACATAATACCAACAGAGTAGGTTTATTGCAGGAATATATTAAATATGTTCTCTCAATATTGTATATTTAAAGAAAGACAAACATACTTTGATACAATGACCTATTGAGGTCTAAAAAAAAAAAAATATATATATATATAATTTTATTTTTTTAGATATTGTGCAATATTTATAGCTTGCAGAGACAGCCCAACAAATGTCATCTAGAGCTTTATAGCTTCACTATAGGTAGTACGGAGCAACAATAGATCAGGCTATTAGATTGCAGCAGACTTTTTTGTGAACACCACTTTAGAAGGCAGTTGTTCCCAGAAGGCTCCTAGGAAAAAGTCTAAGATCCAAACATGGCATTGCTCCTTTCTGGTCAAAAGTGACACAAGCTGTGATTTCAACTGCTCTTAAAGAGTGTAAGAAAATAAAAGTCACACATTTTGTAAGCAAAAGTTTTTTACATTCTCAAGGAAAGAAGATACTTTGCAAATGTTGGGCCTGTCTGGTGTAAATCACCACCACACACATTGGAATGCAGATTAATTACTTGAAGTTCGCTCATAGATTTTTCCAGTGAATTCCAGGAAAATTATCCACAACTCTGAATATACATAACACTTTTGATCAGAAATATGCTGCAAATGTTAATATGAATCAGTGTTTTCCATTGTCCCTTTAAGGACAGTGTACCGATTGTGCAGCACTCCCATGGAAAGAATAGGTTCCACAAGCTATGGAGAAGAGTTACAAAATCTTCCTATGGCCAACTCGCAGCCCATGGGAGATCGAAATCCCCATCCAAACTTTTCATTGGCTGCCAGTGGTTTAACTCGAAGAAAACACACACTCTTCCAGTTTTATAGTTTGCACTTAAAACTTCAGCGGTTATAAAAGTTCTAAAACTCATTAGCATTTCCAGACACAACGTCTAGCACAGGATCACTTGAATCTTAACTGATCAATCTCTGGAGATGTAAAAATTTTTTAGACCAGATGTATATTAAATAATGATTCCGGTTTTAAGCAGTTAATATAACAGCCTAGTACGCACCGAAGCCCTAAATTTTATTTATTTATTTTTTTACAGTTATGTATGGTGTGTTAGGTGGGCATAAACAATTTGAAAAGAACTACAATTTATAAGTTTCCCATTAATATTGCTGGCCATTGGCAACTCACAGAAGACGATACGGCTAAATTCAGTTTAACACTGATCTTCTTAATCTGGGCTGAGGTTCCAGGCTAATTACTTCCTACTGAACCGGTCAGTGTAATAAAGGGAGACTGTGGCTGGCACAAGGTTGCATCAAAGATCTGTTGGTCGTGATTTAACATGCATCCTGCCCCATGGCAGATAGGTTTTAATGTAATCATCCACGCCGCATGAAGGGAAAAGGATTGCTCTCTGATCCTCTTTGCAACTGTTCCGTTGCTGGGTTCTCCTTGTTGATCCGACTTCAGAATTAGAACAAACAAAAGGTTTTTCAATATGGCACTGTGTATTCCTAAATAATGTACACATATGAAATCCAAAAATGTGCAAACAGACCTGGTTGAAGGCAGCACTGAATGTACTTACCCAGAGAATTGTGCAGAGTACAGTTTTATCTAAAGGAATGCAAGAGTGCAAAATACCAGGCTCTCTCCCAAAAGCACATGAATGCTAAGGCTTCAGTATCACTTGAGCACTGCAGTGTCATTAATTCCAGCATTACAAAAAGAATGGTCCCGTGATAACACAGATCTGTGTATTAAATGTCCCGGGTTTAGTTTTAGCAACCACCTCAATAAGCTCCTACGGTGTGAAAAACCGACTTTCCTCTGGGGAAAGGGGAGGAGTGGGTAGGCCGTCCATTCCCACATAGAGGCAGTTTAACTTGGGCTTCAGTTCATTCCAAACATTAGTCATCTATAAAAGAGAATAACAGCTACAATAAACCAATCACCACAATAAGATGTAAAACAGTGTGCTTATTACATCATAAACTATGTAAAGTTTGCAGTAGCATGCACACAGAACACCCTATTACCAGCAATGAAGGTCAGAATCCTGACATTCTCAGTATATGATATTTCTTTGATTAAAGGATCTGTTGTGAAAATCTTTAGCAGAATCTTAAATTAAAAGGAAGAGTTGAAAAGCATGTCTCTTATTTGTTACACTATACTCACTTCCCAACAGTACTAGCAAAATGCATTGTTTTTCTAAAATATATTCCTCCCTCAGACCAGTATGCCACCAACTGATTGCCTGAAGGAGAGTGGAACGCTCCCTCACAGCAATTACAGAGCATGCTCTTTTCCTCCAGAAGGTAATTTCATTTGGACACGGGTATGCTGAAGAAGCAAATGTATCAGCATCACGGGGCGTTTGCTTCTGGGGTCTCTCAGGCAGAGACAATATTATCAGAGGAGGTCAGCGGGCCAGGATTGAAGTCAATTTAAGAAATCTACATCAACAAACCTCAAATTATGGTGGAGCTGGACCAGAGGTAAGCATTTGCTAAATAATGGAAATGGCTATGTTCACTTTTAAAAGAACACTCCAAGTACCATAACCACTACAACGCTCTGTAGTGGTAATGATGCCAAAAGTGCACTGGCACCATCACCCAAGTCACTCAGACGTGTAAATGGAAGGATTTAGCAGGTGCATCGCAGGCTACACACGAAGAGAAATAAATTAGGACTTCTGCTATGTAAAAATCACATAAAACCCACCTCTTTGTGACCCTGGATCTGTGAATTCACAAAAGCTCCAAGTATGTGGGAGGTCAGCGGCAGGTAGATATGCATAAGCTGGGTTTCTTGGTGCAGACAGTACAATGAGAAGTAATTTCGAAGCTCCATTACCATGATGGCATTTTCTTGCTAAAGTAAAAAAAAAATATATGAAATGAAAAAAAGTGTTAAGATTAACAAAATTAATGCATATCTTCCACAGGGTAAAAAAAATAAAAAAATAAATAAAAATGATATGAATTAGGAAGAAAATTGAAAACAAAAACCTCTGCAATGCGGGATTCCAACTGCTCCACAGACTCTCCTTCCTTATTCTGCACAGTCGCACTGATCATCTGCTTTTTCATAAGGCTGTACTTGTGCAAAGCCTTCTGGTGTTTGTGCAATACACCCTTTTCATGTCTTTCACACAGGTCCTTTGGAGACGGAATGATAATATATATGAATAATAATTATTCTAACAAATGCGAACGGTGTCCTAATTCTACAGTTTCAATCACTTGGTACTTTTCAAGAGGCATACTTCACTATTACTGCAGTTAAAGAAACACTCCAAGCACCATAACCACTACAGCTCACTATGGTGGTTATGGTTCCTAAGGTCCAATATACATTCTATTGCATATCTCATGAAAATACTGAATGTGCAATAAAAACTATAACATATACACACACACAAACAAAACACAGCTTACTTTGTAGGACTGAAGAAGGTCTAAGAAAAGATTTAGCTTCTCAACCACATCGATTTCTTCAAGTTTACCCTGTAATACCACGTAAAAACTAACTGTTAAAGTAAGCATACAAATGTGTAAAATTAACCAAGTTAACCATTTTGTATTGTTACAGAACTTTAGAGTGATATATATCTATATATCTATATCGCTTTAACCCCTGTATCACAACTCAACTTTGAATTATATGTGTTGTCTTGCTCAGAAATGCTTCAGACTTGAGAAAGGGAGGTTCTCCCGAAAGCTTGTCATTAAAAAATTCTGTTAGTCCAAAAAAAAAAAAAAAAGGTATTACAAGATACAAATTGTATCTGTTTTTTTTACATTTGTTCCCCCCCTTCTAATAATGGCTAGCTATTACTGAACCAAATCCATTTGTGTAGAAGGCTTAGGTACACCATATGAAGGACTACTAAAGTCACTCAGACCATTTCATATCAATAAACTGGTCTGGGTGCAGGGGCCCTGTAGCTTTAACCCTGCAATGTTAAACATTGCCGTTTAGTAGAAATGGCAATGTTCAGATTGCAGGGTTAATTCCGTCTCTTGTGGCACTCTTCAAACTCTGTCCTCTTGGAGGAGATCACGGAAGAGGTAAGCAGGCATGCTGACATCTACAGAGGCAGAGTAGGTGGTAAAGGAGTCAATGTGCACTGGAAAGGGGGTAAGCAATCTTTATTTTAACTTTAGTTTTTAGCAGCAAAGTGGGGTGGACAGTGCTCACAACAATATACAGGAAATCTCTAGCCCACCTCACCCATCCCAAAAAGTATTTTTTGGCGCCGTAGGTTCCCTTTAAAGGGATTCTTCCAGATGGAGATGGACCATTATCTCATATAGTTATAAATGACTCAGCCAAATGTGGTGCTCAATCAAACTTTCTATAGAACTACTGGTCTTGAGCCCATAGGGATTTTTGGGAGAGGTCACTCATCTGTTCCTTTCTAAAGTAGAAAGCTGATATGTCTGGAGTTGTTGCTCAGTTATGTACAGCAGTATTTTGTAGCAAAACTGATACATTAGTAAGTAGGAGGAACAGGCAACATAGGTGGGCTAATGGACCCAAACAAACCAACTTAAATAAATAAGATACCCAAGACCGGGAGACCTCCTCGTACCATAAGTTATTTTTGATGAATTAGAATGCCCAGAGTTTTCCTTTAAAATGCCCTGCCTACTAAAGCCTCAGACACAATTATAACATATGTACCATCAATTAGAGTGTACAGGAAGGGAACCAAGCATATAGAACAAACTGCACAGAACAATCTTACCTGCTGTGCTGCCTTGTCAGCAAGGAGAGCAAACTCTACAGATAATCCCTTTAGTGCTTGCTTCAAAGCACCCCATGTGCTCTTATCGAGAGCTGCCCAGGATGGCAGTGGAGTGGTATCTGAGCCAAGAGCACTAGATAGAATTCATGGAAAAAGAAAGACATTAAAAAGGTGAAGCTAGTCACTGCAACTCCCTAACAGAGCTCATTCATGTGATTTACAAAGTTGCCTTCTGGGCTTACCACTCCCATGTTGTACCTTAAAAATAAAGACTTAATGCAGCGAGAGGTTTAGACACATCAAGACTTGCAGATGTCCAATGGTTAGTCATTGATGTACATTATTTACAAAACTGGCATTCACTGAGAAATTAAAGGAGCTGCAAACTGTAGCCCATAATACTTGCACGTCAAATTACAGAGCTGGACAGTTTTTCCAGACAGGCTATTTTGTCCAGAAAACTAAAAAAGTCAATTCTTTGACTAGTTTGTAAATCCATGGAGTCTATTTAACTCAGTATGCCATTCTAAGTTCTCTAGATAATGGAAAAAGCACTCATGCCTAGGATGTACTTGTATGATGAAAGCAGAACTGAATCCATGTTGCTTGCTTAAAGGGACACTATAGTCACCAAAACAATGTTAGCTTAATGAAGCAGTTGTGGTGTATAGATCATGCTCCTGCAGTCTCAATGCTCAATTATCTGCCATTTAGAAGTTAAAATCACTGTTTATTAACCCTAGTCACACCTCCCTGCATGTGACTTACACAGCCTTCCTAAACACTTCCTGTAAAGAGTCATCTAAAGTTTATCCTTCCCTTATTGCAAGTTCTATTTAATTTCGATTTTCTTATCCCCTGCTATATTAACCCCTTAACGCCGGAGGGCGTACTATTACGTCCCATTTTAGGCGGCTCTAAACGCCGCCGGGAATAATAGTACGCCCTCCGTTTTTTTTACTTACCCGGTCGCCGGCGATCGCGGTTGGGGGGACTCCCAGGGAGCCCCCCGCGGCAGAACCTCCCTCCTGCAGCCCCCCCGGCCATGTGAGAGTGAGGTCCTTGCGAGGACCTCACAATCACATGGCTGGGTTAGCTGCCTGCTGTATTGCCAGCAGGGGGGCTGCCTGTATTGACAGGTAGTCCCCCTGCTGGCTGAATTCAAATAAAATAAAAGTTAATAAAGTGTAAAAAAAAAAAATATATAATTTTTTTTTTACACTTTATTAACTTTTATTTTATTTGAATTCAGGCATATATATATATATATATATAGATATATATATATATATATATATATATATATATATATATATATATATATATATAGATATAGATATATATATATATATATATATATAGATATATATATATATATATATATATATAGATATATATATATATATATATATATATATATATATATATATATATATATATACACACACACACACACACACACACACACATATATATACACACACACACACACACACACTGTCTAGGTGTATTTTACTATTAATATACATATATCTATATTAATATCAAATTACACGTAGACTGATACTGATTAAATATATATGATTATTGTTATATATAATCTAAAAAAATATGTAAATACATTAAAAAAATAAAAAAAATAATTACAAATAATTAAAAAATATATAGATGTATGTTATTTCTTTCTAACTGTATTGTGATAGTAATATATATATCTCAAAATACACGTAGAACGAAATATATATATATATACCTATATATAAATACAAATATTTTTTAAATAAATATTATATACACACACACATACATACATACACACATTAATTCTACATATATATTTATGTAATATTTTTACATAATTAGGTATCTTAATTAATTACAATTAGCGGGACCTGCCTGACAACCCATGCCGAAAGTAAAGGGAATTTAATTTGCTAGCACTATATTTAACCCTATAACTTTCCAAGACAACATAAAACCTGTACATGGGGGGTACTGTTCTACTCGGGAGACTTCGCTGAACACAAATATTAGTGTTTCAAAACAGTAAAATGTATTACAACGATGATATCGCCAGTAAAAGTGAAGTTTTTTGCATTTTTCATGCACAAACAGCACTTACACGGACGATATTATTGCTGTGATACTTTTTACTGTTTTGAAACACAAATATTTGTGTTCAGCGAAGTCTCCCGAGTACAACAGTACCCCTCATGTACAGGTTTTATGGTGTTTTCAAAAGTTACAGCGTCAAATATAAGGCTTGTGTTTCATTTTTTTCACATTAAAATTTTCCAGATTGGTTAGGTTGCCTTTGAGACCCTATGGTAGCCCAAGAATGAAAATTACCCCTATAATGGCATACCATTTGCAAAAGAAGACAACCCAAGGTATTGCAAACGGGTATGTCCAGTCTTTTTTAGTAGCCACTTAGTCACAAACACTGGCCAAAATTGGCGTTTTTTGCATTTTTCACACACAAATACCAACGCTAACTGTGGCCAGTGTTTGTGACCAAATGGCTACGAAAAAAGACTGGACATACCCCATTTGCAATACCTTGGGTTGTCTACTATTGCAAATGATATGCCATTATGGGTGTAAATTTCATTCCTGGGCTACTATACAGTCTCAAAGGCAACATAACCTATCTGGCGAATTTCAATTTCAAATGTAACATGCTATATTTGTCCCTGTAACTTCCCAAAATGCCATAAAACCTGTACATAGGGGGTACTGTTTTACACGTGAGACTTTGCTGAATACAAATATGTGTATTTTATTGCAGTAAAAGCAAACAGTATTATGGCCTTGACAGTTAAAATGTCACGTAGAACTAAAAAAATAATTTCTTATTTTCTCCCATTTTTTTTCATATTAAATTATGTTTCACAGCTAAATATTTGATATTAAATGAAAGCCCTGTTTCCCCTGAATAAAATGATATATAATAAGGGTGGGTGCATTTACTATGAAAGAGGTGAATTACGGTTGGACAGACATGTAGCGCAAATGCCAGGTTTTGTTCACATTTTGTTTCGTTCACAACGTGTACATTTGGCTCCATACTTAAGGGGTTAATATAAGCAAAATAAAGTACAACTATGCAGAGTATACCAATGTAAAAACTCTGACTAGGAGTACCGAAGAAGGGCTAAGGGGGTAGCAAAACGGGCATAACCCTATATACAAAACAGCATAGAATAAACTATAGTAAGAGGAAAAAATTCCCTAAAAGGAAAAATAAATCCTCCACTAGAGCTACCCCCAATTAACAATATATGTGTGATATAATCAGATAAAAATACATATATAGAAAATAACAATAACCTTTATTTAAATATCCAAATCAAAAGAAAAAATAATAATGAATAAAAAGTGCAGACTAATCTTGGCTGAAAGAAAGCTGCTGAGCACATCAAGACCACATTAAATATAGTAAGTACAGATAGGGTTGTTACATAACACAGTGAGTCTAAACAATGTAACAACCTCTAACAGAGACTCAAATGGCAACAGCAGCTTGTAGAAAAAGCCGAAATAGTACTCAGCTGTAACCCTAGGTATATCTAAATAGGAGGCACTGTATAATATACTTTCTAAATAGTAATACTAGTAAAGGAACCCTTACTTACTAAAGCAAAAAAACAAAAAATAGATGACAGATCTATTAGTGATATCCAGAAATCGAAAGGATAGTAAGATGGGTAGTAAAGAAAACTGATATAGAAAGTAAACAGCAAGCAGGAGGTAAATCCTCCACTGTAATTCTCTGAAGTAAGAGTATATATGCCCCAATAATGCCCATTGACCGGCCGGTCATATGTCAATATGGGTACAGCTAACGTACAAAAGAGTGTGTGTAAAATAGTATAACACACATGTCCGCATCAAATATTGCCCAACGCGCGTTTCGGCGGGTAAACCGCCTTTTTCAAGGGCATCCTGTACAAATCCCCCGCTCAAACTTACTCCTTAAAAGAGCGAGTAACTCCTCCTCCTACAGAATGAAGACCAATCCTCACCGTTCGCCCACAAAAAGGGGGCGTCTATTCATTCCTCCTCGCCGGGAAAAATGTACGGTGTATCGAGAGGTCCATAATCCCCGCGCATGCGCGCGGACTTAGAGAAAGGAGACTAAGAAATCAACCGGCTCAAATTGCCTGAGGACGGCGATAGTCTTCCTTTCGAGTTTAGGATATACAAACAAACCGCCCTAGATACCAATAAAGTGATCCTAATAAGCCGAATGGCCAAAATAAAGAGTAAAAAGAGATTAATAAAATTCTTAAATTGTTATCATTAGAACTGTCAAGGTGGGGATATATTTATGTACAATTGTGTATAGATCACTATTATTAAATCCCTATATGACAGTGAGTTCAAATATATATGGCCATGGCTAAAGGGAGAGGAGGGAGGGGAAAATTTATATATAGAAAGGAGGGAGGGGGGAAAAGAAGAAAAAGGATAAATAAATAAATAAAAAGGAAATAACAGAGGAAAACATAAATCATAAATTATGTAGTCAAAAAAAAATAATAGTAAACCCACACAATATATATGTGGTCATTATATAGTAGTTCCCGTCGGCAGGCCAAAATAAATACTCAAATGAATATCAGACTTAAATTAAATAAGGTTCAGAAGAAATTAACTCTCAGAGATGACAATGAATGGGGCAAAAGAGAAGCCTTCATTCAGACCCAGAGGTTGAAGGGTCTTTAGTTCATAAATCCACCTAGACTCACGTTGTCTCAGGATCTTATCAAAGTCTCCACGTCTAGGATTCCTCTTCACTAATTCTAACCCACAAAATCGAAGATTATTCGAACTGCCATGATGACATTCTTTTAAGTGTCTAGAAATAGGTGTCTCAAGACGATTCCTAGGGGATCTCACATGTTCTAATATTCTTTCCTTGAAGGCTCTAAATGTTTTTCCCACATATTTCTGTCCACAGGAGCACGTCAAAAGATATACAAGTCCCTTAGTGTTACAATTAAAAAAGCTTTTAACCTTAAAAGCCCCTTGGCCCAAACTGTCACTTATTGTTTTAGAGCCCTTAGATATGTACTTACAGGCTACACACCTGCCACAGCAATAGGTACCACAGGGGGGAGTTCCCAGCCAGGAAGGTCGTATCGGTGTCTTAGTGGAAAAATGACTCGGTACCAACAAGTCACGGATATTACGTCCACGTCTAGCTGTAATATTTACTTGTGGGCCCAAAACCTCCTTTAAGTGTACATCATTTAAAAGAATGGGCCAAAATCTATCTAGGGATTTACGTACCTCAGACCAGCCTGTATCATATGTCGCAATCATGCGAATGGTACCTATTTCCCTGCCCTCAGACTTAACTGGATGATCAGATAGCAGTTGATCCCTTTCAGTTAAAAGTGCTCTTTTATATGCCTTCTTTAAACAGCGATTCGGATAGCCTTTCTCTTTGAAGTGTATCCTAAGCTGTTTCGCTTTCATTTTAAAGTCCTCAATGTCGCTACAATTTCTCCGGAGGCGAAGGTACTGGCCTACCGGAATGCCTTCCTTAAGGGGTCGCGGATGGTGACTCTCCCAATGTAAAAGGGAGTTAGAGGCCGTCTGTTTTCTAAACAGGGTAGATTGAAAAGTCCCATCTTCCTTGATGGTGATGGTCACATCTAAAAAATTAATAGAGCGTCCTCCAAACTCTGATGTAAAATGGAGGTTCTCATCGTTCTGATTAAGTAATCCAACTAACTCAGAGAATTGTTGGGAAGTACCCTGCCACACAATTAGGATGTCATCAATATAGCGACCCCACCATAAAATGAAGGGTAAGTATTCTGACAAGACATCAGAAGTATGGATCGAGTATTCCCACCATCCCAGGTGGAGGTTCGCATATGAAGGGGCACAAGGTGTCCCCATAGCCGTGCCTCTCACCTGGTGGTAGATTTTACCATTAAATAGAAAATAATTGTGTGACAAGATGAACCTCAGAAGGCGTAGGGAAAAAGCTGTGAGTCATCCCTATTACCTCGTTTAACAAGAAAGAATTCCACATGGCTAAGCCCTTTTTCATGAGGGATAGAGGAGTAGAGCGATTCTACGTCTAAGCTACAAAGCTGGACTGTAGGTGAAAATTTAAGATTTGAGAGCCGATTAAGAGCTTGCTTCGTATCCCGGATATATGAGGGTAAAGTTTCGACAAAAGGTCTCAAAATTTTGTCTATATATAAGCTCCCGTTTTGCGTAAGATTCTCGACTCCGGAGACGATAGGACGTCCCGGGGGTTCCTCCAGATTCTTATGGACCTTCGGCAGGCAGTAGAAGGTTGCTATCCTCGGGTGACGGTTAAGAATAAATTCATACTCGTCCGCCGATAGCAACCCTCCACTGCGGCCTTCGTCCAGAATTTCTTTATATTTCAAAAGAAAGTCATTTGTGGGGTCACATTTAAGTACTCGGTAAGTTTCAATGTCACCTAAGACATGTTCTGCCATTTTAAGATATTTCACCACATCCATTATTATGATATTGCCCCCCTTGTCGGCTGGCTTAATAATAATATCTGAGTCGTTTTGTAATGTTTTTAAAGCCCGTTGTTCCTTTCTAAGAAGGTTACTAGTTGATTGGATCTGAAGAGATTTAAAATTAATCTTGTCAATTTCATTCTTAGCTGCTTCTAAGAAGCTTGCTAGACGCTGCAAGGGCCTCCAGTATGTGATTAAAGTAGAATTTACAGAGAAAGCAATACGATTTTTTTAATGTAAATTACATCTGATTGAAAGTGAAACCATTTTGATTTAATGCAGGCTGTGTCAATCATAGCCAGGGGAGGTGTGGCAAGGGCTGCATTAACTCCTAAATGGCAGCGAATTGAGCAGTGAAACAGGAGAAGCATAATCTATACACTAAAACTGCCTCATTAAGCTAAAGTTGTTTAGGTGACTATAGTGTCCATTTAACAGAAGCCTTTTAGACACAGCAAATTAGAAGGAGAACATTTGGTAAAAGAGGATGTTATTTCCTGGAAGGTGAAGGATGTCATTGGTACACAGATACAGAGCGATAAGACTATTAAGAAGAAATTAAAACCATTAAGAAATTGTCATGATGTGCGTGTGACACAGCAGACAATGTCAGACATCTCAGGGTGGTACCCTTCAATATCTACTGATATGTATGCTATTGCAGTAACAAACTAACTCATTTTATTTCCAGCGCCGCACTGGTCTCATTGTGGCTGGTTCTGGCTCGTTGGCGAGATCATCAGTTGTGATGATTTTAGTCAATCGAATGCTTTCTTATAGGAAAGCATTGGGAGGCTACTGTGCAAGTGCGTCAAAACGCAGCGCCGCGCCAATCAGCATCTCCTCATAGAGATGAATTGAATCAATCATCTCTATGAGGAATGTGCAGTGCGTGTAGATGCTGAATGTAGGAAGCACCTCTAGTGGCCGTCTGAGTGACAGCCACTAGAGGGCATTTTAAACAATACCTTTTCTCTGAAAAGGCAGGGCTTTACATTACAAAGCCTATAGAGACATTCTATACACACCAGAAAAACTACATTAAGCTGTAATTGTTCTGGTGACTCTAGTGTCCCTCTAAAGTACAGCTGACTATCCGGTTCAGGAACGCATATATATTGTTTAAGGAGAACGCTGGTTCAATTTACAACACAATTATACTCTCCAAGTCAAAATAGTGTATTGTAATAGTGGTTTATCAAGTGTCCAAAAGGTGATGTTCTGTGAATTTCCAGCCCTATTGAATTTATGCAGAGTCTAATTCTTATGCGTGTCTGTAGTAAGATGTAGCCCCCTCTGTTTCCCCCACCCTTAATCCCTTGTAACACGCAAGGCATCAACACTACAGCTGCTGCATATTCCATCTCAGATGCATACGGTCTAAAAAAGGTGTACATCTAAAAGTTATCCTATAACTCTGTGTGTTAGCCTTGCTTTTAGACAGTAATTATCCCTTCATTTAAAATAAAGAAACAAGTTCTCCTTAATGTCTGCAAAGAAAGGATTTAAAGATTTAACCACAAGACCAGGGGACAGCAACCTATGGCACGTGTACCTTGAATGGGACTCAAGGTTGCCAAAGCCAAACAGTCCCAACTGGACTTCAGATGTCTATTGCAGACAGAGTGGCAATTGCAGGTGGAGAGGGGCGATCCTCAATTTACGCATTGCAGAATCTAGTACAGCTCCTGCACTTGATCTGTACCTGGCCACCCTGGTCCCCGCAAGACCCCAGGGAAGCCAACCACACTGTTCGATATACACAGAATAAGCCTCCCCCTCATACAAATAATACAAACAGCCCACACACAAACAAAAACACACAGTCCCCACAAACACAACACCACTGACAATCAACATACATGCACACAATCTTTTACACAAGCAGCCCCAATACACAACCCACATTCATAGGTATAAAACCCACAAACTTCTCATGAACGTATACTGTACAATATAGCAGCCCACATAATATTATTTTGATGATATTATATGATGCACAGATACAACGTTATATAGCAACTGCTTCGTCCATAAATAACACAAGCAGAATACGGCAACATACACACATCAATTAAAACAATTAAAAATAGGATTGGCACACCAAGGGACTTAAAAATCTTGTCTTGCACAGTACTACTAAACGGTTGCCTTCCCCTTCCCTAGACAAATATGTGTCAGTAGCTGGAAATCCTTTATTCTACCATCAATAACATCTCGACTCAACACAGGGTATATAATAAATGTTAATGAGGGGTTGTCTCTGTCTATAATTGACAATATAGGTCTATGGAACATATAAATGTAGAGGGAATTTTATTAATTCAGAAAATATACTGCTTTGGGACCAAAATTATATGATCTCTTTGTAACATGCTATTGATGGAAACTCGAGTTAAAAATACAAAGTTGAAATTAATTTATTTTAGTGCATTAAAAAAAATTATCTGTAATAAATATTACTGTAACGAAACCCCTGTTTGGACAGACTCAGGGAAACAGCATTTCGTCTGATATTCGTATGTTTGGCTATTTCGTGTTGCTTGCAAAAAGAGCCAAACAAACTCCCGAACCACCCGACCCCCCCCAACAGGGTCATGTGCAGCTCATTTACCACCCAGACCTTGCGGTTAACCGCAAGTAATTGTTGAAAGGTTTGGTTGTCCGCGTTCGTTTGCCGAACACGTGGCGGTCGCCATTTTAAGATCGAACGCTCAGCGGTAGGTGGTCATTTACACCCTGGAACTGTTTTCGGACACTTATTTAGCCGCACACTGCTGAAGCGTACGAAGTTCCAGGCCATTCGTCTAATAACTCCCGAACACCCTACTGTTCAGGACTTTCCTACCATACGAGCTAGACCGACCCCAGGTAGCTGCAGTTATGGCACTCTTGGCGGATTCAATTGCACGAACAACCAGTGAACTAAAAACTTTACTCAACGATATTGAGAACTGTGTTCGTGGGATCTGAGCGCATGTGGAACCTGGAGACTACGTTCAGCGAAATATAAGTTATGGATTTTAATAAAGTTTTGTCAAAATGTGAAAAAGACATGTTTCTCTCTACCTGGAGATAATTAGGTTCTCTCCAACCACTTAAGTTAATTATCTCCAGGATAGAGAGGAGGGGTTGCACTGTTACCATGGGTGTGTTTAATAATTGTACTGTAAACTGATTGGTTCTGTATTTTGTGTCACAGTTTTCCACAATGTCCCCTGTGGGAGTTTCCTTGCTGGGAGACCATCATAAAAGGCTGAGTTTGGCCATCAATAAATCAGATCGTTTTACCCCTTCATGAAGTCTCGACTCATGTTTGGGGAATTGTGAGCTATAATCACTACTTTGCTATTATTCTGCTGGGATTTCGGGAGAAGCTGGAAGGATCGGTCCTACAGGGATAACAGGATCCTTTACAATTACCTTCCAATCACCTCTCGTTTATGCAATGAGTATTCTTAGATTGGAGAAACGTTGCAGGAGTATTTGGGATTCAGGAATCTATTCCATCTTTGTAAATAATTAAATCACGTTCTTTGATGATACAACGATACTTTATGTACAATCGCCTATCTCACAAATAAAAAAAAACAAAAAACATACAATTTCTGAACTAGTGGTGATATATGTATTCAACTGTAGGACACACAAATTGTGTATTTTTCCCCATCCTCCCAGACAGACTAGACCAAAACATATGGATGAAACATCTGTCTCTTTTTAATGAAGCAAGATCAAGCTCATGGGGATAGTGGCCTATTTGTGCGGTTAGAAAAATCCCATATTATATCAACTATAGATCAGAGGTCATGTATCTTAGTTTTTTTAATATCCATATTTAAGCAAAATCTTCATTCCAAAAAGCAAGAATAGTAATCCAATCATTATACCTTAGCTCTTTTCCGAAGCCCAGGAGGTCAGTAGCATTGTCTATGGCCCGTGCCGCGATCCTCTCAGCGCGATCTCGCAGTTTATAAAAGCTGTTAAAGATGTTCCGTATGAGCTCTCTGCTGGCGGCAAACTGAACTTGGATGTCGCTCGGAAGGAAATCCTGACAGCACCCCAGCAGACAACAGGAAACCATGAGAAAGTGTTTTGGCTAGTTCATTCAAAGTACATATAAAAAATTGCTAAACCACACACAGTCAAAAAATGTTATATAAATTGGTTTTATAAACAACAATTGAGGGATAAGGTTTTGAACATCAGCAGGATAATGCCATAGCATTCGATGGTGACTGCTCAACTGCATTTCATATACAATTTCCTTAATGTTACATGTGTAGTTTGTCTTCGCAGACTTATCAGGGCAGAATTATTTTGATAAAAGGGTTACCGTAAGCACCATAACAACATCACATCACAAAAGGTAACAGTGTAGAGAGCACCCTGCACCTGGTCTCTCTCTAACTAAAATAACCCATTTAGAATATAGATCCAAAATAACTAAAATATGGGAGGAATGGGCAAATAAATTGGAAACAGAAAATGGTAACTAACCCTAAACATTGAAAACCTAGAAAGTATCACATGATGGTATGATGGTCATGATTTGGATTGTAATGATATTGGAAAAGGATTATATAAATGTTTATTCATACACAAATTATGTAATATTTAGTTCCTGAATAAGTGGAAAAGAAAACAATAAAAATATTAATAAAAACTAGAATAACCTAGAAGTGCAAGGGCTTTGTAAAATAATTCTGCAATTCTAAACCAGCCCCCCTGGCTCTCAGATGTCAAAGGAGGAATGCGATCCACCCAGCTTGTTTTTATACAACTTTCTTTGTCTCGGGTAGTATTTTTTCATGCAAATAATGGTGTATGGGCTGGTGAGTGGGGCTTAAGTCAATTCCTGCAAAATTTGCATATCTAGAACTTCATGACACTGGCATTCCCTTATAATTATAAGATTAGTAAGTCTTATTTCTTCCAATCAGTAAATGCTTCAAAATCCGAATTTAACAATAGAAGAAGTACCTTGGCTTGAGCAGAAATTTTCGAAGTCATGTATTCATCTCCCACTCCACGAATGGACTCACGCATTCGGTTCTGTATATCCTAAAACAAAAACCTTTATTAGAATATTGTAAAGCGCTACGGAATCTGTTGGCGCTATATAAATGTCAACAACAACAACAACAATAATATCCCATATTGCTCCACTGAATATGCAAATGAGCAACAAATAGATATAACCAACAATGGACTTCATCCTTTCAAGACTTATAAGCATGCTGCTGCTCGCTTTTGTGGTAGAAATCGGTCTGGCTGTATATAACTAAGCATTATCACAACATTAAATAAATATGCTAAAAACTTCTCAGTGATTTAAAGGAACCTTCTACACAGAAAACAACTTCAAACTCAATTTTTCAACAATTTAACACCAAATTAAAACCAATCTACCTGCTGCCCATTGTAAGTACAGTACATACAAAATGTAACTCCTTGTGCTCAGCTGTAGCATACTATAACATTCTAAAGGAAAAGTATATATAAAAAAAAAAAAAATTGTATGAAAACAGACTAACCTGCCCATTATATGAAAGAAATATATTCACAAGTACATCGTCCCAGAAAGAAGGGTGCCTGGCAACAAGGTTAACAAATCGTTTCAACGCTCGCCTGCGTGATTCAATAAACTCACGGTCAGCTGAAAATATATACATGGCTTTACTCAGAGAGAGATAAGAAGAATTGTTACACATTTAAAAATCCTTTGTTAAGCACTTGTCAACAAAAAACAAAAGGCTACGTAGGGGCAAATCACATGCATATTATGGAATCTTATGCATTTTGCTAATTTTTTCATAAGAACCAAGACCCATATACACTGAATATATAAATAAAATAAGAATTATCAACCTATCACAACATTTTACGGTAAAAATTGCAGGAAGTGGAAAAAAAATAAAAAATAAAAATACAAAAACATCTTATGTAATAAAGTAAAATGTAGACAGATTTAAAACATCTTTGAGAATTAAAAAGTTCTATGATCTTCAAAAATGACATTATTCTCCCGCACGCGAAATGTTGAAAAATACAGTTGTCTCTTTTGAGCCGCTTCTCTCCTAGAATTATTACAGTTGCTCTCGGAGTTCCCATCAACAGTGATCAAAGTGTGGCATATGCCGGAGATGACAGTACTGTCAAGAAGTTCACACACATTAATGTATTTATATCCTTTTCTAATGACTGCAAGGAATAAACTAACTACCAGTCTTCGTAAAGGGTTTCATCTCAATGACGGACACAGAAATCCTTATAGTTTTGATATGTCAATTTAGAAAACGCTTTGAAAAGTATTTTTAAGGTTCTCTTTACATGTTTTTTAATGGAAGTTAGTTTTTTTGTGCTACACACTAATGCCCTTCTTTTGCATATCGCAGCCCAACCTGCCCTGTAAAGTCCAACGACACATCATGCCTAGGAACTCGCAGGCCGTAACCAGAAACGCCAGACTGTTTAAAGCCTGGAGGAAATACTCACCTCCCTACATAAATGCTCCTCCGATTGTGGAGATGTGTCGGAAGAATCAAAAATTGCAGGTGATAACTCCACGGGAGCCTAGAGATATCAGCAGGCTCCTCAAGTGCACGCCGTGATCAAGGCAGATGGGTTCCGCGGCAATGGCGGCTTCCAGCGCCGCTTCTGATGCAGAGAGCAACCTAATGGAGGCAAACACTGGCTACATTCACACTCAGCTCTCAACCTCTGACACAGGTGATAACCCCAGGCTGACGCCTTCAACTAAACAAGACATCACTGACTTGTATGACAGAATTAGACAACTACTCAATGCTGATATAGCAGTGGTGAAAATTCAAAATCAAAATCCAGGCGGTCACGGCTCGGGTCAAAGCCACCAAAAAAGACGTGATCGACCTCAAACAGTGTCTTACAGCCGTGGGGGAAACCGTTCAGCACTTACAAACAGCGCACCGATCTCTATCATTCCGAGTTGACACCATGGAGAATAGGAGTCACAGACAAAATATCAAAATAAGGGGATTAGTGGACGCAGTGTTCCCAGAGGAACTACCACACTTCCTAAAAAAGGCTGATTGCATCAGTGATACCCACCAGACAAGCAAAGCTTATACAACTAGATGGGGCCTATAGGATCACCAAGTCCCACAGGGCTCCAGCTGGCACCCCAAGGGACATTATAATCAGATTTCAAACCTTCACAGACAAGCAACGACTTGGAATCGCATCAACTCACCTTCTTCCAGGATATAAACCGATCCATGCTGTTGTGGTGCAAAACCATGCAGCCCATCACCAAACAGCTGCAAGAAGCTGGCCAGGCATACAAATAGTCCGCACCCCGCATGCTGCAAGTGCAGAAGGAGGGAAAAGCATATAAAGCAACATTTTCAGCTGAGGCCTCAGTATTCCGCTCAGCCCTCGGCCTGGTAGAGACAGACATCACACTAATGAGGTCCAAGGCCACGCAGACCTGGGACGTCCCCAATGTGATACCCTTTGTACCTACAAGAGGCAGTGAATCAGGGACATAAGCAGGACTGTAATAACTTACCCAAGCGCACATGCCCCGGGTTACCCCCCTAACTTCTACTTATCGCTGAATCACTAAGTGGTATTACGTTGTGTCTGAGCTGTAGTTTTACTTATGTTTTCATAAGTTTAAGATTTACTTATCTAAAAGTTTATCTTGGGCTACACACACGAGAACGAACATTCTCCTCCTATCCCCCTCACCCCCTTGGTCAGGGGTATTACAATGCATAGGTAGCACCATTTATTTGTTTTTCCTCACACTCACTTGATCAGATATCTTGACCTTATATATATACACACTTCTAACACCCTGCCAGACAGCTTATCTGTATTGTGCTGGCAAAACAATTACTAAAGGGTTCAATTGGTGCCCCGAACAAAGTACATACCAAAGGTTGTATCCCGAACCCATTTGACTAACGCACTGATAGGGTATCGCATCTTATATGAACCATCTTTCACCTATACTAATTACCACGATACAGTTTTATTCTTTATGTTGTGCCCTAGCTGGATACTCACCTAATCACATTGCTGTATACTACAAAAAATTGTGAGTGGTATAGGGAACTAGGATACATGCTCTCCCTTACAGTCCTGATAATACAAACAGATCGCACATAGGATGATTTCACGTTCTGTTATGGTCACTTGTATCTACCGTATACGTCAAGTCATGTAAACCTTGCTCCACTCAATAAAAACAGAGAATTAAAATAAAAAAAAATAAAGGGTATATTTTCATAAAAATGTTGACTAAATTCATGTATTAACCGAATGTATTTACTAAGAATTATAATTGAAATATCTATTGCAGAAGGGAAACTTCTGCTTTAGCTTGAGCTAATGGTTGCCAGATCATAAATGCCCATAGGGACACAGGTATGTATCAAAAAGATTTACTCTTAACCGGAGGACTCCTACCACTACTGCTGTAGTGGTCATGGTGTGTAGGGGAAAAAAAAAATTTAAACCACAAATGTACCAACAATTACTTCACTGTACAGAACTCTCCTTCCTCCCCACACAGTTTCTGCATGGGTTGCCAGAACAACCAATCAGCTTCTAATAAAGGGTAGGGTGTCAGAGAAACAATCCCGCAAATCCTATGACAAATTGTTAATGTGGCCACTCCCGTTGTCACACAGATAAGGGTTCTTTTTTATTAATAGTAATAATCCGAATTAGCGATTTGATATGTAAACATCCTTACATAGTTTCAATAAGTTTAGAAAAGTTATAGGTTCACTTTGAACATTTTAAAGTGACATATGCACATAAACCCACAGCAGCATCACCCCGTCCCCTTCGCACATTCTGCTACTTTTCTAAACCATCTCCTTGGCAGGACATGCATTTCAGCCAATGAGAGAGCACTGTGAGCCGAGCTGAGGATATGACTTCGTCCAACGGCCAATCACTGCCCTCTTATTCTCTGTAGCATTTCATGCTATGGGTACCAAAATCAAATAAGAGCGAAAACACATCATGAATAAGAGATCAAAATCTATCAAACGCCCTTAAGATGAGTTGGTGCCAAGTATGCAGGTAACGTTTAACGAGCAGCAGATTTTCAACTGGCACAGCTCGTAACGGTAGTTCATCTTGAGTGCCAAATCTACATACCTTAAAAAGGGAAATGTGGGGGATGTGGGAGGGGTTATACATAACTTTATAGAATCTAGCTAGATAATATACAGACCATAAGAACACAATTAACACAGGTACGAAAATGCAAGACAATACCTCCAAGCATTCTTTTCGGTGGCAGAGACGGCACCATACGGTATGGGTATTTCTGCAACAGCATCTCCTGGAATACCACAAAGTCATTATACCGTCTGTACACGGAAGACTTGAAGTGCTAAAGAAAAGGACCAGGATTGGGAAGGTTGGGGGGGAAAAAAAATTCAAAATTATAAAAAGACTCAAGAAAAAGACTGGAAAATAGGTGAGCAATTCCTGTCGGATTGAGCTACACAGTGTTAAGTAAAATGTAAATGGTCAACAATGAAATATATATATATATATATATATATATATATATATATATATATATATATATTTTTTTTTTTAGGCCTCTTGATATGGTTCTATAGAATAAGATTTTTATTCTTTCACTGCTGTAAAGGAAATAAAACACAAATAAAAGAATCTTAAAATAATTATATTTGGCTTACAATGGACACTACAAATACAATAACAACTTGTGCTCCTGGAGTGACTCAATCTAGTTTACAGTTTTATTCACAAAACTGAAGGACCTGTAACCAAGACGACAGCAGTTGAGGAGGCAGATCTATTAATGTTATGTAATGGATGGAACTGCTGTTGAGTGTGAACTACATATCCCATAAACATCCTTAAAAGGTGTGGTTATTTTTTCCCCCCCATATATTTAAAGGAACACTTTGGGCACCATAAGAACTTAATTGAGATTAAATTGTTATGGTGCATTGAAGGCAGGCCCTGGGCTCCTTCTTACATTCAAGGGATTAATCAGTTTACGAATGGTTTAACTCCAAAGTTGGCCAAACATTGTCCGTCAGCTCTGCCTCTCTTTCCCCACGTTCAACGAGGAAGCCTCATTAAATAAACATGTTTCTCATGCAGTTGTATCAAAGGGTCGCTAGTGGTAGAGATAGATAGCTGAAGCTCTCAACCTATCACTGGCACACTGTCTCAGGATTCCTTGTTATAAAATTAAAGGAACACTATAGTCACCAGAACAACTACAGCTTAAAGGACCACTATAGGCACCCAGACCACTTCATCTTAATGAAGTGGTCTGGGTGCCAGGTCCATTTAGGGTTAACCCTGCCTGCTGTAAACATAGCAGTTTCAGAGAAACTGCTATGTTTACATTTGGGTTAATCCAGCCTCTAGTGGCTGTCTCATTGACAACCGCTAGAGGCGTTTCCGCGCTTCTCACTGTGAGAAGACGCCAGCGTCCATAGGAAAGCATTGAGAATGCTTTCCTATGGACTGAGTGAATGCGCGCGCAGGTCTTGCCGCGCATTCAGCCAGTGACGTCAGAAGAGGGAGGAGAGTCCCCAGCACCGAAGGAGCCCGGCGCTGGAGAAAGGTAAGCCTTTAACCCCTTCCTCCCCGTAGAGCCTGGCAGGAGGGGGGCCATGAAAGTGGGGGGGACCCAAAGACCCTATAGAGCCAGGAAAACGAGTTTGTTTTCCTGGCACTATAGTGGTCCTTTAATGAAGTTGTTCTGGTGAGTATAATCATGATGTGCAGGCATTTTCATGCAAACACTGCCTTTTCAGAGAAAATGCATTGTTTACATTGCCCCTAGGGACACCTCCTCAGATGGCCACTGGAGGCACTTCCTGGCTCAGTGCTGCACAGTAGGCAGCAGTGCCGTTCAGCGTCTCCACGCTCTGCATGGGGACGCTGAATTTTCCTCATAGAGATGCATTCACTCACTGATTGGCCAAAATTGTATCTGGCCCCGCCCCCTTGCCGATTTTAGCCAATCTAATGCTTTCCCCATGGGAATGCATTGGATTGGCTAAAAATCTGCAATTCTGATGATGTTACTAAGGGGGCGGAACCAGCAGAGGCAGACCTGCGCGGCACTGGAAATAGGTGAGTTTTATTAACATTTAAGGGAGTTAAGGGGGGCAAGCCAACTAAATGTATGCCATTTTAATAATATTTATAAAAAGGACAATTTAATCCTCAGCTTTATAGGGCAAGAAGCGTCTGTAGGGGTCCTTTATTCAAGTCACAAAAGTGATGCTATAGATATCTATTTACAATAAATGTAAGGCGGGCATTTTCCAAACTAGTATTTTTTTTTTATTATCATTTCCACGCCAACTCCAGTTGCCTTCATTTCCCTGGAGGGGTGCCATGGGCCCTGAATGATCTAGAGCAGGGGTGTCAAACATGCGGCCCCCCGATGTTGCTGAACTACAACTCCCATGATTCCCTGGCTATCTGTTTCATTGAAAGAATCATGGGAGTTGTAGTTCAGCAACATCTGGGGGGCCGCATGTTTGACACCCCTGATCTAGAGGAAGACAAGGCCTGTACATTTATCTCGATCTTCTCCACTGCAACATATCCAAGGTTCTTGGTATCCCGTTCCTAAAGAAGGTAAGCAATTCAAAGGGAATACAATTGCACACATAAAATAGAAAAAATAGAAATGGAGCCAATATAGTTCAGCTGCTGTTGTACAACAACCCCGTTTTGCTTTCAAGAAAGGGGCAAGCTGGGATTGGTGAAAAATAACATCAAATTATTTAACCAAGAAAGGTGCATTCGTGCACCAGTTTTCAAGCGCATACTAGGTTGCAGATGTTATTACCAAACTTAATGGTGCTCATTTTATTGATCTCGGATGGATAGAAAGAGGAGCAAACCTTGGCTGGAATTGAAATTACAACTCTGGTATGCTGCTTTATTAACCACTTAGCTATCTCTCTGGCAAACTAGTCAATAAACTGGATGCTTCCCCACCCAGCGCATATCACATGATTCGTCCAATGGGTCAAACTCACCGAGCTGGAAACCTCATACTCCACATGCTTCAAAAACAAGCCTTTCTTTTCTGGAATAAGCTCCACTTGCACAGTATCATGTCCAAAGAGCTCCTGCAAGGTATAGCTTAGTATCATAGGGTTCCGTTCCGTCCCCTGCATTCTGGAAGAGTCTGGAAGTTTCTGCTCATTCAAATGACGCTTTGGCAAAACTGCAAGAAGGAAGCATTGCTGGATGTGAGAAGGGAGTGATCAACAGACAAAAACTGGGAGCTGGAATGCAGCCATTGTTATAGGAAATGAAGATTACAAAACACACACTCCTGAATTATCTGTGTTGGCAGCAAGCTACCGTTGATGTTTAACAGGAAAATTAGTGAAGCATTCAAACACAGGTCAAAGTTTGCATTTACATACATTCAACTGCAGCTAAAAGCTCCTTCCAAAATGCTGCCTAATCAGATTTTTATTTTAGACAGCTAAAAAGATATATTTTATAAATTAAAAAAATAAAAAAAAAAAGAGCCTAGTGTTTATTAAAATTGTGTTTTTGGCAGATGTATTTCTTGGAATCAACGTCTATACGGGGCTGACTTTGCAATTTCGACTTTAGTTTTCCCCTCAGCGGCTCATCACAATAAATTCGCTCTCCAAGCTTCCTTTACGTTTGCAAAAGAAGAATAGCACCTCTTAGCATAGCAATATTGCCCAAGGTTGATCAATACGTACGAGCAAGGCAGCAATGGCAATGCGACTTCATTACAGAGTTCCATCTCTACGATAAATTCCAGGAGCATTGAACATGGGCTTGTGCCATGGAATCTGTACAGGATATGCTGCTTGAGTGGAAAAATAGCTTGAGTTCACCAAAGTCCAGATAAATCAAGCTGACAAGACAGTAGTGATGACGCGACACTTTCATGACTTTCCTGTTTTGTTATTCCCGCACCCCCCCACCCCCCATCATTTTTCTCTTTTCTGCTCAACTGTCTTTTCAATTACAGTATAATAATTCAAATAAACAAATGTATATTAAAAATTAAAAAAAAAAAAGTTTAAAATTGCTTGCCTGAATAAAAAACACCAAGCAGAGCACGCAAATCTAACTTCGCATTCACCATTAGCAACAGTGGCATATTAGGGGGTTTGAATAAGAAACCAAGATAACGCATTTTAAAACGGACTGAATACTATAGAATTTGGGAACATTACAATTCCTCTTTAATTTAATGCTCTCTTCGCTGTTATGAAGCACACAGTATTCCTTTAACCTATAACTACAGCTTGATGTTGTAGTGCAAGGAGTCGATGGTGCCATCCTTGTTTGTTTGCTTTTGTAGAATTATTCTCACACAGGTGGAGAGAAAACACAGTTTCCTTGGCACCCACATGCCCCCCTTTGGCATCCAGAGATAGTTTTGCCCCTTTAAATTTTTGCAACTGTATTTCGTAGTGGTGCAAAATAGGAAATAGTATAAAGGGTACATGTCTGCCTCGAGTTACTCAATAAATTGTGTATTTAAAGTGAGTTTAAAAAAAAAAAAAATATATATTATTTTTTTCCCAATCTGGCTATTAGGACCTCAAATTTGAAATTCATTTTAAAATCCTTTGTTATTTCATAGCTGTAATGTACAACCATAAAATACTATCTAATTCAACCATTCCAAACATCACATTTGTATGTGTGTCCAAAGAAAACAAAGCAATATTATTCATTATTGTTGTAAAAATGTTTTATAATCTTAATAAAAATAGAAAAAGAAAATCATAACTGTGTGTGTATATATATATATATGGCCACTAGTTGGTTTTCCCCTATACTGAAATCTTATGATCTAATTTAGGTGAGAATTCTATTAATATATTGTATGACAGTTCCCCTGGAAAGTCCAGTGCTGGCCAGAACATACTTTCCATTTTTTTTTGAACATCTGTACAGTCTACTTAAGCAATGAATACTGACCTTCATAGATCCTGACCGAACGGCGGATGTTTACACCAATAAACCTGTGTGCTGGACTACCGTGCGTAAGTGACTTAAAGGTAAAATGCTTAACCACAAGAGACAGCGATCCTGAAATCTGTGCTTGTTTCACGCATAACCAGTTCTGCATTTCGAGTTAAGCTGTCAGATTGGCCAACAATCAGCCAGCAAAAATACTGCGTCTATTATAATCATCCTCTTTTGTAGATGAGTGGGTGTCATCCTCAAATTATACATAATCTTATGACTCTTCTTTACTCACAAAAAAATCACTGGTTTCCTAAAAGAAACCAGCAGCTTATACTTTACATGCTGGGGGGAGAGAGAGAGAGAGAGGACAGAGACAGAGAGAGACAGACAGACAGACAGAGAAAGAACAGAGAGAAAGAGACAGAGACAGAGAGAGAGGCAGAGAGAGAGAGAGAGAGAGAGAGAGAGAAAGAGACAGAGAGAGAGAGAGAAGAGAGAGAGAGAGAGAGAGAGAGAGAGAGAGAGAAGAGAGAGAGAGAGAAGAGAGAGAGAGAAAGAGAGAAAGAGAGAGAGAGAGAAAGAGAGAAAGAGAAAGAGAGAGAGAGAAAGAGAGAAAGAGAGAGAAAGAGAGAGAGAGAGAAAGAGAGAGAAAGAGAGAGAGAGAAAGAGAGAGAGAGAGAAAGAGAGAGAGAGAGAAAGAGAGAGAGAAAGAGAGAGAGAGAAAGAGAGAGAGAGAGAAAGAGAGAGAGAGAGAAAGAGAGAGAGAAAAAAAAACACATGCCAACCTTTCTCCACAGCACTGTACAAAGAGTTCACAAGAGGAGCTTACAGCTAGTGAATTTGTGGAGCTACACCACTTAAATGATGCATGATTTAACAGAAGCAGCAACAATGTGTGTATTATATTGATAACTTCCATTTTTTTTATGACTCAAGAATGGCCATGCGTGCTCTCAAATAAAGCAGTGAGAGAGCCTTTCAGAGGAAGCAGGTTACCTGTATGACAGGCAAATATCATACAAGTACTTGTACAATCCAAAGGAGGAATATCAGCCTCGAGGGATGTATTTATATTATGTTTTACAGAGAGCTAACATTATAAGAAACTGAATGCAGGGAGAGGAGACAAAGGACCTCTTTGCACCATAATCTATGCTAAAAAAGATAAAGTATTACTCTTTTCATGTACCTATCATTGTATCCATTACATCCTATCTAATCCATATTAGAATATTTTAGATCACAGAGGATGCATATGCAATCAAGCCTTTTTGATTCTATTATTTACATTAGTTTTATAAATAACGCTAAACTTTGTTTTCTCCCCAAATCTTTTTTTGTTTTCTTTGTTTAATCAATAATTATAGTAGTAACCAAATATAGTTTCTCAGCAACTATAGCAGCTGGTTCAGAGTTTAGCAACAGCATGTTGCACACACAGGGAAAAGATGTCTAAAAATTATTTATAAAAAAGCAGTTGAGGTTAATGTCTAATGCCTAAAAGATAAGGTAATGACTGTTAATGTCTGGTACCCACTATTCTAAACAAAGCAGTGATTGGTAAAGTCTGCTGCCAAATAGTATGTAAGATGGTGATTGTCAGTATTTGGTGCCTAGAATGAATTACAAAATCAGAGATTAGCAGTGTGTGGTGCCCATGATTATATTCACAATAGGGAATGGCAAAAACTGGTACCTTGGTATCAATAAACTCAGTGGTTGGCAACAACTGGTGACTACAATTTCATATAAAGAAGGGAATATTTATGAAATCGGTGACTGCCAATATTAGGAGCCTGAATAAATTATATAAAACCAGGTAATGATAGTATCTGGAATATATCCTATATAAAGCAGATAGTGTTAATGTTTGGAAAATATCCTATATTATTATTATTGCCATTTATATAGCACCAACAGATTCCGTAGCGCTTTACAATATTATGAGAGGGGGGACTTAACTATAAATAGTACAATAACAAGAAAACTTACAGGAACAATAGATTGAAGAGGACCCTGCACAAACGAGCTTACATTCTATAGGAGGTGGGGTATAACATGTTAGGACAGAAAAATAAAGCAGATAATGTTAATGTTTGGGATATATGCTATATAAAGCAGGTCCTGGCTGACACACAGTGTCTCTGTCTGGGGTCTGGATGTTCCCCCAGGTTAGTTAATGTCAGGTCCTGGCTGGCACACGGTGTCTTGTCTGGGGTCTGGATGTTCCCAGGTTAGTTAATGTCAGGTCCTGGCTGACACACAGTGTCTCTGTCTGGGGTCTGGATGTTCCCCAGGTTAGTTAATGTCAGGTCCTGGCTGACACACAGTGTCTCTGTCTGGGGTCTGGATGTTCCCCAGGTTAGTTAATGTCAGGTCCTGGCTGACACACAGTGTCTCTGTCTGGGGTCTGGATGTTCCCAGGTTAGTTAATGTCAGGTCCTGGCTGACACACAGTGTCTCTGTCTGGGGTCTGGATGTTCCCAGGTTAGTTAATGTCAGGTCCTGGCTGACACACAGTGTCTCTGTCTGGGGTCTGGATGTTCCCAGGTTAGTTAATGTCAGGTCCTGGCTGACACACAGTGTCTCTGTCTGGGGTCTGGATGTTCCCCCAGGTTAGTTAATGTCAGGTCCTGGCTGACACACAGTGTCTCTGTCTGGATGTTCCCAGGTTAGTTAATGTCAGGTCCTGGCTGACACACAGTGTCTGTCTGGGGTCTGGATGTTCCCAGGTTAGTTAATGTCAGGTCCTGGCTGACACACAGTGTCTCTGTCTGGTGTCTGGATGTTCCCAGGTTAGTTAATGTCAGGTCCTGGCTGACACACAGTGTCTCTGTCTGGGGTCTGGATGTTCCCAGGTTAGTTAATGTCAGGTCCTGGCTGACACACAGTGTCTCTGTCTGGGGTCTGGATGTTCCCCAGGTTAGTTAATGTCAGGTCCTGGCTGACACACAGTGTCTCTGTCTGGGGTCTGGATGTTCCCCAGGTTAGTTAATGTCAGGTCCTGGCTGACACACAGTGTCTCTGTCTGGGGTCTGGATGTTCCCAGGTTAGTTAATGTCAGGTCCTGGCTGACACACAGTGTCTCAGTCTGGGGTCTGGATGTTCCCAGGTTAGTTAATGTCAGGTCCTGGCTGACACACAGTGTCTCTGGTCTGGATGTTCCCCAGGTTAGTTAATGTCAGGTCCTGGCTGACACACAGTGTCTCTGTCTGGGGTCTGGATGTTCCCAGGTTAGTTAATGTCAGGTCCTGGCTGACACACAGTGTCTCTGTCTGGGGTCTGGATGTTCCCAGGTTAGTTAATGTCAGGTCCTGGCTGACACACAGTGTCTCTGTCTGGGGTCTGGATGTTCCCCAGGTTAGTTAATGTCAGGTCCTGGCTGACACACAGTGTCTCTGTCTGGGGTCTGGATGTTCCCCCAGGTTAGTTAATGTCAGGTCCTGGCTGACACAGGTTAGTTAATGTCAGGTCCTGGCTGACACACAGGTTAGTTAATGTCAGGTCCTGGCTGACACACAGTGTCTGTCTGGGGTCTGGATGTTCCCAGGTTAGTTAATGTCAGGTCCTGGCTGACACACAGTGTCTCTGTCTGGTGTCTGGATGTTCCCAGGTTAGTTAATGTCAGGTCCTGGCTGACACACAGTGTCTCTGTCTGGGGTCTGGATGTTCCCAGGTTAGTTAATGTCAGGTCCTGGCTGACACACAGTGTCTCTGTCTGGGGTCTGGATGTTCCCCAGGTTAGTTAATGTCAGGTCCTGGCTGACACACAGTGTCTCTGTCTGGGGTCTGGATGTTCCCCCAGGTTAGTTAATGTCAGGTCCTGGCTGACACACGGTGTCTCTGTCTGGGGTCTGGATGTTCCCAGGTTTAGTTAATGTCAGGTCCTGGCTGACACACAGTGTCTCTGTCTGGATGTTCCCAGGTTAGCTAATGTCAGGTCCTGGCTGACACACAGTGTCTCTGTCTGGGGTCTGGATGTTCCCCAGGTTAGTTAATGTCAGGTCCTGGCTGACACACAGTGTCTCTCTGGGGTCTGGATGTTCCCAGGTTAGTTAATGTCAGGTCCTGACTGACACACAGTGTCTCTGTCTGGGGTCTGGATGTTCCCCCAGGTTAGTTAATGTCAGGTCCTGGCTGACACACAGTGTCTCTGTCTGGGGTCTGGATATTCCCCAGGTTAGTTAATGTCAGGTCCTGGCTGACACACAGTGTCTCTGTCTGGGGTCTGGATATTCCCCAGGTTAGTTAATGTCAGGTCCTGGCTGACACACAGTGTCTCTGTCTGGGGTCTGGATGTTCCCCAGGTTAGTTAATGTCAGGTCCTGGCTGACACACAGTGTCTCTGTCTGGGGTCTGGATGTTCCCCAGGTTAGTTAATGTCAGGTCCTGGCTGACACACAGTGTTTCTGTCTGGGGTCTGGATGTTCCCCAGGTTAGTTAATGTCAGGTCCTGGCTGACACACAGTGTCTCTGTCTGGATGTTCCCAGGTTAGCTAATGTCAGGTCCTGGCTGACACACAGTGTCTCTGTCTGGGGTCTGGATGTTCCCCAGGTTAGCACATGTTGCTAATGTCAGGTCCTGGCTGACACACAGTGTCTCTGTCTGGATGTTCCCCCAGGTTAGTTAATGTCAGGTCCTGGCTGACACACAGTGTCCCCGTCTGGGGTCTGGATGTTCCCAGGTTAGTTAATGTCAGGTCCTGGCTGACACACAGTGTCTCTGTCTGGGGTCTGGATGTTCCCAGGTTAGTTAATGTCAGGTCCTGGCTGTCACACAGTGTCTCTGTCTGGGGTCTGGATGTTCCCAGGTTAGTTAATGTCAGGTCCTGGCTGACACACAGTGTCTCTGTCTGGGGTCTGGATGTTCCCAGGTTAATGTCAGGTCCTGGCTGACACACAGTGTCTCTGTCTGGGGTCTGGATGTTCCCCAGGTTAGTTAATGTCAGGTCCTGGCTGACACACAGTGTCTCTGTCTGGGGTCTGGATGTTCCCAGGTTAGTTAATGTCAGGTCCTGGCTGACACAGTGTCTCTGTCTGGGGTCTGGATGTTCCCCAGGTTAGTTAATGTCAGGTCCTGGCTGACACACAGTGTCTCTGTCTGGGGTCTGGATGTTCCCCCAGGTTAGTTAATGTCAGGTCCTGGCTGACACACAGTGTCTCTGTCTGGGGTCTGGATGTTCCCAGGTTAGTTAATGTCTGGTCCTGGCTGACACACAGTGTCTCTGTCTGGGGTCTGGATGTTCCCAGGTTAGTTAGTGTCAGGTCCTAGCTGACACACAGTGTCTCTGTCTGGGGTCTGGATGTTCCCAGGTTAGTTAATGTCAGGTCCTGGCTGACACACAGTGTCTCTGTCTGGGGTCTGGATGTTCCCAGGTTAGTTAATGTCAGGTCCTGACTGACACACAGTGTCTCTGTCTGGGGTCTGGATGTTCCCAGGTTAATTAATGTCAGGTCCTGGCTGACACACAGTGTCTCTGTCTGGGGTCTGGATGTTCCCAGGTTAGTTAATGTCAGGTCCTGGCTGACACACAGTGTCTCTGTCTGGGGTCTGGATGTCCCCAGGTTAGTTAATGTCAGGTCCTGGCTGACACACAGTGTCTCTGTCTGGGGTCTGGATGTTCCCCAGGTTAGTTAATGTCAGGTCCTGGCTGACACACAGTGTCTCTGTCTGGATGTTCCCCCAGGTTAGTTAATGTCAGGTCCTGGCTGACACACAGTGTCTCTGTCTGGGGTCTGGATGTTCTGGTACCCACTGTTCTAAACAAAGCAGTGATTGGTAAAGTCTGCTGCCAAATAGTATGTAAGATGGTGATTGTCAGTATTTGGTGCCTAGAATGAATTACAAAATCAGAGATTTGCAGTGTGTGGTGCCCATGATTATATTCACAATAGGGAATGGCAAAAACTGGTACCTTGGTATCAATAAACTCAGTGGTTGGCAACAACTGGTGACTACAATTTCATATAAAGAAGGGAATATTTATGAAAATCGGTGACTGCCAGTATTAGGAGCCTGAATAAATTATATAAAACCAGGTAATGATAGTATCTGGAATATATCCTATATAAAGCAGATAGTGTTAATGTTTGGAAAATATCCTATATTATTATTATTGCCATTTATATAGCACCAACAGATTCCGTAGCGCTTTACAATATTATGAGAGGGGGGACTTAACTATAAATAGTACAATAACAAGAAAACTTACAGGAACAATAGATGTCAGGTCCTGGCTGACACACAGTGTCTCTGTCTGGGGTCTGGATGTTCCCAGGTTAGTTAATGTCAGGTCCTGGCTGACACACAGTGTCTCTGTCTGGGGTCTGGATGTTCCCAGGTTAGTTAATGTCAGGTCCTGACTGACACACAGTGTCTCTGTCTGGGGTCTGGATGTTCCCAGGTTAATTAATGTCAGGTCCTGGCTGACACACAGTGTCTCTGTCTGGGGTCTGGATGTTCCCAGGTTAGTTAATGTCAGGTCCTGGCTGACACACAGTGTCTCTGTCTGGGGTCTGGATGTTCCCAGGTTAGTTCATGTCAGGTCCTGGCTGACACACAGTGTCTCTGTCTGGGGTCTGGATGTTCCCAGGTTAGTTAATGTCAGGTCCTGGCTGACACACAGTGTCTCTGTCTGGGGTCTGGATGTTCCCCAGGTTAGTTAATGTCAGGTCCTGGCTGACACACAGTGTCTCTGTCTGGGGTCTGGATGTTCCCCAGGTTAGTTAATGTCAGGACCTGGCTGACACACAGTGTCTCAGTCTGGGGTCTGGATGTTCCCAGGTTAGTTAATGTCAGGTCCTGGCTGACACACAGTGTCTCTGTCTGGATGTTCCCCAGGTTAGTTAATGTCAGGACATGGCTGACACACAGTGTCTGTCTGGGGTCTGGATGTTCCCAGGTTAGTTAATGTCAGGTCCTGGCTGACACACAGTGTCTCAGTCTGGGGTCTGGATGTTCCCAGGTTAGTTAATGTCAGGTCCTGGCTGACACACAGTGTCTCTGGCTGGATGTTCCCCAGGTTAGTAAATGTCAGGTCCTGGCTGACACACAGTGTCTGTCTGGGGTCTGGATGTTCCCAGGTTAGTTAATGTCAGGTCCTGGCTGACACACAGTGTCTCTGTCTGGGGTCTGGATGTTCCCAGGTTAGTTAATGTCAGGTCCTGGCTGACACACAGTGTCTCTGTCTGGGGTCTGGATGTTCCCAGGTTAGTTAATGTCAGGTCCTGGCTGACACACAGTGTCTCTGTCTGGGGTCTGGATGTTCCCAGGTTAGTTAATGTCAGGTCCTGGCTGACACACAGTGTCTCTGTCTGGGGTCTGGATGTTCCCAGGTTAGTTAATGTCAGGTCCTGGCTGACACACAGTGTCTCTGTCTGGGGTCTGGATGTTCCCAGGTTAGTTAATGTCAGGTCCTGGCTGACACACAGTGTCTCTGTCTGGGGTCTGGATGTTCCCCCAGGTTAGTTAATGTCAGGTCCTGGCTGACACACGGTGTCTCTGTCTGGGGTCTGGATGTTCCCAGGTTAGTTAATGTCAGGTCCTGGCTGACACACAGTGTCTCTGTCTGGGGTCTGGATGTTCCCAGGTTAGTTAATGTCAGGTCCTGGCTGACACACAGTGTCTCTGTCTGGATGTTCCCAGGTTAGTTAATGTCAGGTCCTGGCTGACACACAGTGTCTGTCTGGGGTCTGGATGCTGAGAGCAGGTATAGCGCAGGCACGCGCTCCCCATGACGCTGCCCTACGTCACTCCAGTACACAGCGCTACCTCTGGGAGCCCACGTGACTCTCCCCCCCAGCAGCACTTACCTGCACTCGCTCCGCTTTACACGCAGTCAGCATTGCATTCAAGGCCCGGTCATGTGACTGGCCACGCCCCCTTGCAGCCACGTGACTTCCTCCCCTTAGTAACGACCCAAACATGACTGAGAGACACAGCAAAATGGCGCGCTCGCAGCACCAATGATAGAACACCGGGCGTGCCTGGAATGGCCATGGGTTTGCGCATGCGCATTTAAACTAACTGAAGCCGCATGGGTGGAATGGCAGCTGTGTGATACATAGAGCGCCACATGGCGGAGGGGGGAGGGTCTGCTAGTGTGTCAGCATTGAGTATTGGCAAAATGTGGCACCATAACATACCTTATTACTGCCATAATGTTATAGTGAAAACTGGGGCCAGCTATGCATGGCTGTCAGTGCTACACACACACAGTGACACAGACTGACACACACACAGTGACACAGACTGACACACACACAGTGACACAGACTGACACACACACAGTGACACAGACTGACACACACACACAGTGATACAGACTGACACACACACACACAGTGACACAGACTGACACACACACATAGTGACACAGACTGACACACACACACAGTGACAGACTGACACACACACATAGTGACACAGACTGACACACACATACACAGTGACACAGACTGACACATACACACACACAGTGACACAGACTGACACACACACACACAGTGACACAGACTGACACACACACACACAGTGACACAGACTGACACACACACACAGTGACACAGACTGACACATACACACAGTGACACAGACTGACACATACACACATAGTGACACAGACTGACACACACACACATAGTGACTCAGACTGACACATACACACACAGTGACAGACTGACACATACACACATAGTGACACATACACACACATAGTGACACAGACTGACACATACACACACAGTGACAGACTGACACATACACACAGTGACAGAATGACACAAACACACATAGTGACACATACACACATAGTGACACA